ACGACTATAATCTCTCATTCAGTCGGGAGTTCCGTTTTAGCGAAATTGCGTTTACGTCGTAATCTCGCGCAGAGAGAAGGGACTATAACGTTACATTCCACTGATGAATAGAAAATTAATTGAATATCGTAGCATTCTCTGATCGATGACATTGTATATTAATAATTTTTTGGTTTTATTGTTAAATTATTTTAAATTTAAATAAGTATATTTGGAAAATTCGAGCGTTTTATATCGAAATCGTAAATTATATATATTATATGCATATATGTACACACAGACATACAAGTGTGTGATAAACTAGACGCTTACTTGATAGCTGATTGATAATGCAATTGCTTTAGATACGTGCGAAACGTAAATATTGTCATTTATAAATATACAGCAAAAAAGTTTGGACATGATTACACGTATTCATTTATCAAAATCGTCTAAATATATTATTGTACAACGTATTTATAGAAAATATTTAAGGATAAATATTGCATCTAAAAATAAAATCCTACAACTTCCTACATTTATTCGAAACGTCTATCCTCTTTAATAAGTAATTTGTAATTCACAACCAAGATATATTAGATATATTAAGATTCCTCAACATTTTCAAAACATGCATGCATATAATGAGATTTGAAAATTATTCGACAAGGAGAGAAGATCTTTGAAGAAGCGCATATAATCAAAAATCGCTATAATTTCGTCAACTTCATAGAATAGAGGCTGCTCTAGATTCTTAAGGAAGCCTGCTGGATTCTTAAGTTAAGAAATGCTCAAGAAATTTTTATTTTCTGATCTCCAATATTTTTGTAATTCAGAATAATTTCAAGAGAAGTAGATTGATATCAAACATATATTTAATAAAATAAATATAATTTAATAAACACGATTATCGATATAAATATAAGGCTAACGCTTTATATATGTAAAATTTCATAAATATTAAAATATATAGATAATATATAAGTGTCTCGTCTAATTTGTGTGTATATAGAATATAATATACATAATTATTCACAAATTCTTCAGTATTAATAGGTCTATTTAAAAAATGTTTATTAACCTTTCAGACGATAAGAGTTAATAAAATGAGTTGAGTCATAAATACGTATTCATTCACGACGTGCTGGCTAGTAGACTCAGATTCATGATTTCTTTATTCATGTATGCTAATTGCGGTATACAGATTACGCCAGCTGGTCACGAGATTCGGTGGATATCGCGCACACGGTAAACTAATCGAGTGCAACAGTCGATATCAATTGCACGAATTGTTAATCTCTCTCATGCATATATATATATATATATTTTTTTTTTTAATATATTTATTATTTTAAAGTTATTGATGAGTACGAACTCTTTATAAAAGGTATTTTTTGATAACTGGAGATTATATATAGAGATAGTGATATATTTAGGAACTTCATATTTTTTTCTTCAAAATAAAATCTTCCACATTTCTTTTGCATATTTCTAGGATTCGTAAACCAGTGGAATTAAAAATAATCTAATTTAAGAGGATTAAATCCTCTCAACACTGTAAATAAATACGGAAAATTTTTACTCGTTAAAAAAGAGATTTCTTCGTTTTTTTTATGTCTATTTAACAAGTATAATTGATTACCTTCAAACTGTCAATTAATGTTATAAGAAATTGAATTGCTCCATATAAACAGAAAATTATTAATTAAGCGCAGTCAATTTAATATCACACGATGCATCGTTTGATCGAATACCGTACAATATCGATTTATCCGTATTTCTCTTTGTCGTCGATCGCGAAGACTAACGTACGTGCGTTACTCGTTTTTACAGCGCCGATAGTATCAGCTGCTTCGTATGCCATAGCGTTCCTTGCCTTCGGCGATTAGTCACGTTTCGATTTCGTAGGACGATCGACCGCTGCACGAAACAACCGCATGTTCCGTGACGTTTTAGACAGTCGTTCAAAATAGTCTACACCCTTCTACGCGTCGGCGTAAATGTCATAAGGTTCGGATCTTTTATATATTTAATCTAATTAAACGCTTTATTATTGTAAGCGTGAAAAATAATTTTTAATTCAAAACTTTTGATACTCTTGAGATATTAGATTACGATATATTTTCAATAAAATCGATTAATATAGATAGTACATACAATAAATATTTTTATGAACCAAGTAATATCAATAACGATTAAATGATAACAACATATGATTGCTAGATATCTAAAGAATTATATATTATTAGTCAATAGAGAATTATTATTATTAGTCAATATATTATTTTATGAGAAAACATAATTTTTTTAAGCTTTATGGTTTTATTTTCAAAGTAAAGCACCTCTGTTATAATGTGACTTTCTCCGTGTTACTCTTTAAATTTTTTATATGTTAAATTATCGCTTTGTTTTCAAAGCGATAATACATTCATTATATCACGCTATATTTTATTATAATTTTTATGCTCTTAAATATAAAACAATTAAATGAGTTTTATGAGAAAATCTGCGATAAATAATATTTTGTTTCGATTTGACATCTTTGCTTAATCGTAAGCTTAATAAGAAAAGCTATTGCGACATTCTGACGTAGGTACACGATTTGCGAAGCGCAGTAATTCTGAACAGGTCATCGATCGGTAACGACTACTCGTCTAAAATTACATCGATCCGGCGGGAAATAAGAAACGTGAACTCGATGGTTGCGGCCACTGAACACGAATTCATGATGCGCGAATGTGCTATTGAGTTAATTACGATAGAATATATATTGAACTACTATGTAACTATTATAAAGCTAGGTGTATTCTGCGGAAAATCATTAGCACAACACATTTTCACTAAATGTGGTGCTGGATGTAATTGTTGAAAATTGTTTAAATAATAGTTGATGACTATAGAACTCTTTATTAATTTTAATGCATAAAACTCTTAAAACTCATTTCACTAAATGTCATGTTGAGTATAGATAATAATAAAAATTATTAATTCATAGAATATTAATCTGAAATTGCTTATATGTTTTATGAATTATTATATTTAAATTATTTAATTACTATATTATATAAATCGTATAAAAAATAGGTATATGAAATCATATGAACTATTGAAGAATATTTACGCTCCGATTATATGTATAAAAAGTGACGCGATATTCCGTCAACACAGCGATATCAGTGAACGTTTCTCGTAATAACGATAACTATATTATCGCGGTTCCTTTTATATAATTAAAAGTTTGACATTTTTTTTACTGCATGTATATCGTCGTCGCGTACTTTACTTTTCTCTTTTCTGATATATTTTTTTATTCAGAAGAATGAAAGTTGAACGCGAGAAATTCTCACTGACAATGAGAATTATTATATATTATATAAGTAGCTCTGTTAATTTGATTTATCGTAATCTTATTAAATTGAAACTTGAGAAACTAATTGTCAGAGTAATGTGAGCCTATACTTGTCAACTTAAACGAAACATTTGAAAGTTTATTTTAAATTAATAAATATATTTATAATATATAATTAAATAATAATTAAATATAATAAAAAAAAAATAAACAAAAAAATTTAAATTACTGGTAAATAAAAAATTTTGAACATCTTTAGAGATACCTGTAATTAAATTCATTACATATTCAAAATTTACTTTATGCTAATACAAATATTTTATATTTTTATTCAAAATTTATCTGAAATTATATATTTGACACTAAAAATATACGAGTATATACACACATTTTTATAAGTAGATATTTGTTGTCTTTAATATAGAAAATTGAACAAAAGAATCACAAACGATATTGATATAAAAAATGAATTACTTAAAGCGAGAAATCGGAATAATTTGAATATTGAATATCATAATCATAATTATAATAAATATCGTCTACTTTATAGTATCTTTGGAAGTTGTATTTAAAATTAAAAGATAATGGAAAGAAGCGAAAGCGTAGTTTCCCAGTGTTTTCTTCCTACAAAACAAATAAGTATTTGTCGTTCATGTGCATTATACTGTATGAAGACGTGAAGGAATGAACGAACGAACGTGAACGAACCAACGAATGCACGCACTGCGAGTGAAATATGTATGTTTGCATTTCCCTCATAGCGCATGTATTCGGTCGTTCTATTACGCATTCATACGGTAGTGCACGTGAACGAAAAGTGCTCATGTATTTCGTAAAAAAAGAAAAACAGGACACACATTATTCTTGTTTCTATTTTACCTCTTTCGCGTGCCTAAAACATTTTAGATTTTGACATCGCTTATAGCTTACTCTCTAACTTTATCCATCTTTTTCTAAATATCAGTGTTATACATATGTCTTTAATTAAAAATGTGGAATATGTACAATAAGTTACGATAAGGCGATGTATTTTTTTCAAATTAAATAATATAATAAAATTTTGAAAAATAATTTTCTCCTTGCACTTTTCAGTTCTACAGTTCCTGTTGAAAATTTAAAAAAAGGTTCCGCATTCCTTATTAAAAAATCGAAATTGAGCGCTAACTTTGCAAATCTAACACAACACTCTTCCCTCTAAAATATTAAAACGCGTTAAATATGATTTTTGATAAGAATTTCCGATAGTTCAAGTACAGTACGTATATATAATTTCAGACCTACTAATTAATAATTTTTATTAATCCACGCCCAAGCATGACATTTAGTGACAAAATGTCATGCTAACGATAATTATCGATAGTTCTACAAGAGTGCATTACAATTAATTCTAAAAAGTTTTCAGTCATAAACTATTTTTCAAACAATTTTCAATAATTACGTCCAGCACGAGACTTATTGTTAGTAAAAAGTGTCGTGTTGGATTTTCGATATTCTAATCATTGTTTTTGACAGTTCTATAAAAGATCTATGCTCTAAAAACATTTTACCTGTTTACTATTTTAACTAACGAATTTATTATTACATAAATATTTTAAAACGAATTCAGAGAAGCGACGTAAAGCCGTGAAAAGGGAATAAGCGCAAAAAAAATAAGATCACTTTGTAAACTCACGTTACGAAGAACTCCGGTGGCACAACTCGCCGGGCTCGTTTCCCCTTCCTTTTGGCTACCGCGAGATCGTCGGGCCGTTTACTCCCGCAACGCACAAACGCGCCGTATCACCTTCCGCGATTTCACGAGAACTCGTCGTCGATTGTGTCGTCGTTGTCGGGCATCACCGGCTGTCGCTCTCTCGCTCTCCGTGGGTCTCCGCACCGCCGGTCGACGAAGACGGAAACAACGTCGCGTCGCGTTGCGTCGTTCTCTCGGTCGCGCACAATGACAACTCGCGAGTACAATGAGGAGAGTCTTCTCTCTCTTTCTCTCTTCTGTGCTATTCCGAAACGCCACTTATTTCGCGAACGACACCATACTTGTCCGCGCGCGTCACTCGCGTTTATATGTATATACACTCCGGGAAACCCGATTACGGCTGCGGTCGAATGCGAGCGTGTCTCATCTAGCGTATACTCGTGTATGTATGTGTGCCTTCACACGACGTTGTCACGCGCATCGACGGTGTGAAATAAGACCCGCAAGTTACGCGTCGCAAAGACCCTTGGCTGGGAAGAGAGGGGAGGCAGGACTCTCTCTCTCTTTCTCGTCTCTCTCACACACTTACGCGCGGCAAGAGGAACGCGTTCAAACACAGGTAACACGAACTGCAGCCGATGAATCTCCACGATAAGCGAGAGTTCCGGCACTGCACGTCGTGTCACGTCACGACGACGTACAAAACGAACGAACGGATGAATCACACAAAGGATAATCGATGCGTATTGTCTTTATCACTCTGTCTCGTCGCTTACGCACGTCGTACTTTCTTTCCTCTCACGCGCACACTCTCTCTCCCTCTCTATTTTTTCGATGCACTGCAGTAAGATAATAAAACACACGATACGCCGAATTTTACGCGTTCACCGATATCGCACTGCGTGCGACGCGATTAACCGTACACGAACGAGATAACACTCTCGGTCGCGTCTGTCCGCCCAGGATCACCGGAGAGGCCGTGCGCGGTCACACGTCTCTGCTCGCTCGACACGTCCGTACGTCGCGGGCACCGATGGCGGAGTGACTCGATGGCGCCGCGAACATCGACGACGGCGCTCTCGCGGCGACTCGGCGTACTACGCTCGCGCCCGCAGCCGTGCGTGCGCGCGCAGATCCCTCGAGCCGAAATATATACATACACACTACGCGGAACCGGTATATACGCACTACTAACGGGGGCACATTGACGCGCGACGTTACACGTACGTACCCACACACAAGCGTCGAGAAGCCGCCGCGGGTAGGATCGTACGACAGCTATACTCCGCCGAATCTATAATGGATATTCGCACCGACGGACCACCTGGCCCACCGTCCCTCCTTCCCGTCCCTCGTCCTACACCATCTAACGAGCGTCCACCGATGCACACAGACGCGATCGCGATGTAACGACGTATATAGCGTCGCGTTTTCCCCCGATCTCCTCCCTCTTCGTCGTCGTCGTCGTCGTCGTTACAACGCGCGATTGACGAGGAGGATGGAAGAGAGGGAGATGGTGAATATGTCGTTGTCACGACGTTCCGTAAAAGTTCGCTGTGGAGTAATATTCCGATCGGTTTCGACGTATAATTCGGCCGCTTTTCGCGACGCGACGCGACGCAACTCTCGCTCGCGGAAATGGAATACACGCGAAAAAAAATTGGTTCGCCGAAGCGCGTATTGAGTTATTTACGTTTCGCATTGAAACGCGCGGTGTACATCAACGTGCAACGCGTGCATTCAATGAGATGGATTCTGTATTAAAAGCGGAAGCCGGTTCTTTACTCAAAATGTTTGAAATAAACAGCGGTGAAAATGGAGTTTGATTAATTGAATGCGCCGACACATACTCGCGATACTCCATTAAAGTTGAACAAAGTACAATAATGTATGTAATGACGAATTCAAATATTTCGACGTTTCGTTCCACGCCTACTTTTAGCCGTATTTAATGGTATTTGTGTATATAATACAGTATGCAAGAACTATAATATATATGTATGTATACGTTTATAGTACTTAATTCTTCGTTTAATCGCGATTATTTCGCGTCTATTTGTTTTTCGAAATACACATTCCAAAATTACATTGTTAATGAGTTAAGCTATCCGACACGGCATTTACATGGATTTACATGACTATTACAAGCGTTCGGGAATGCTGGACGAGTTTTCGCTTTTCAGTTAACGTCGCGCTTTTACATAAACTATGTGAGTTTTCAAAAAGTCGCTCAAGTTTACATATTGAACATTTACTCGCTTAACAATGCCGTCGTCACGATTCGTATTGTCGTTATTTTCCGTTATCTATATGATTATCGAAACGTGATATATTACGTCTGCGCATATTATATATATGTATGCATAAACGGCTCGAGAGATTCTTTTTTCGACATTTTCGTACTATATATTTACTTACGAGCGTCGTAGATAAGCGACGAGATATGACTACATTGTGATTGAGATCTTAGTGCATAAAAAAATAAGTTACCATAAAAATATTAAGTTTACCACAATAAAATATAAAATATGTTCGATTAATTTTAATACATATTTTATTGTGGATATTAATATTTTTTTATTGTGGTCAATATTAATCAAAGAAACTTATAAAATTCTACACAGTAGGAAAATTTGTGTTTTCTTGTTAAAAAACGGTCTCCCATTAAAATTTTTGTGTTAAATATTTAACACATCCATGTAATTAACATATTGCTGTTGTTTTAATTAAACTTTAATGTTAAAATATTAAAACCACTGAAAAAAAGATGTAAAAATAACACACAATGTGCATCTATTTTTAGTTTTACACAATAAATATGTTTTGTTTTATTAGTAGTAAGATTTATTTGTTAAATATTACAGAGAAAAATGTTGGTTTTTCATTTTATAATATAAATGAGGATGATAAAATCTAAAAACAACATTTTTAGCTCATTTTTACATTAAAACTACACTGAAAAAATTTAGTTAATTCTTATAAGTATTTATTTCAATACTGTCAAATAAATCATTTATTTGAAACTAATAATATTTATTTGATATAAGAAAATCCTTTTCCAAATAAATAAATATTTATTTGTTTCAAATAAATGATTTATTTGACAGTATTGAACGAAATATGTGTTAATTTAACAAATTTTTTTCAGTGTATATTAATTTCACGCAAAATTTATTTTAAATTACTTAAAGTTTTGCATTTATTTTGTTTAAAATATTAACAAAGTATTTGTGTCTCCATATAACTAATCCATCTTATGTTAAATTAACTTATGTTAGTGTTACTCTTATGTTAAATAAACAAAAATTTCTGTGGACCGTTTGGGAGATGCGATATCTGCTTTTAACACAAATTTTTCAACTGTGTATAGATAAAATTGATCACAGTGAAAAGCTTTAGTGTTTATTGCATTCGAAGTATAATTGTTACTTTCAATCGTTATACATATATATATAGACAAAATTCTAAGAAACGTGATAAACGTCGAACGCATCGCGCTTCGTTTCTCTTTTGTGTTACGGATGTCTTTTTTGAAACTATACGCTTATCTTGTTTCAATTCCTATAGAAATTGCCGTGTCCGATATTTTACTTCATCATATCTCTAGATCTCTAAACGGGTGAACACGTGCGCTCGCGCGGTATCGAAAACTTAGCTGCCGAGTTTTTTTTCCGAGAATCTTCGCTCCGCTCACAAGGACTGGCATTTCTCGGAACAATTTCTATCTCTTTCTTACTTGGCTATATCTCGATTATCGCAAGTATTCGAATTTTCTGCAAATACTGTGTCGTGAACACGTTTATTCCTGCTCTTCATAATATCTACATCTTATTCGATATAATAATTCAGTTATATATGTAATAAATATTGCAACGCGTTAATAATTAATGATAAAAAATACATGATACACTGAAAACAAATTTGTTAAATCTTTCAACTACACAATAGGAAAATTTATTCTTCAGGTTAAAAACAGTCCCCGTTAAAATGTTTGTGTTAAATATTTAACATATTTATGTGTTAATTTAACATATTGCTGTTGTATTAATTAAACTCTAATGTTAAAATATTAAAACAAAAAAAAGATGTAAAAATAACACAATGTGCACCTATTTTCAATTTCACTAGACAACGTCATTTCTCAATCTTATATTAACTTTTTATACTTTAAAATTTGCCAAAAATACATTTTTCCTAATATTAGTATTATTTTTCCTTATATTAGTATTATTTTTCTTCAGGTTAGTTTTATTTTTTCCTAATATTAGTATTATTTATCCTCAGGTTAGTTTTATTTTTTCTCAGGTTAATTTTATTTTTCTATATTAGTTTTTATATAATATTAGTTAATTAAAAAAAAGAGAAGTCACTGCAGTAATTCCCACCCAGAAAATTAAAAAAAAATTGGATCAAATTCAAAATTCTTTAATTTGCCTCTTTTCAATTTTCTCAAATTTGTGATATATAATTTATTTTGTAAATATAGATTAAATTTTAATTTTTAATAACAGCATTCGAACAATGACTCTAACAAGTGTCAAAAAATTCAAACGATGTCAATTCTCTTTATCTGCTATTCTGCGAACGAACTTTTCTTTTTCGACGCCTACAAGGTGTCTCGAACAAATAAAAATGAAATGTTGCGAGTGAGAATGTTACATTACGTAAATAATTAGTCGACGAAAACTGTATAGATGCCTCTCTCTTTCCTCTATTTTTTTTCAGAGTATTACAATAAAATCTAAATTTTAAATATAAAATTTTCTCTGAAAATTTTTATATTTTTCTCATTTCACATTTTTTAAATAGATAGAATATATAATTTTTCTATTTTATAATATATAAATAATTTTAAAAATTTAATTCGAATTATAAAATAACGAATAATATTTTCTAATTTAAATATTCTTATAGCAACACAATGCTGTACTCTTATATTTCAAATATATATTATTTTGATTATATATAATCTGCATCAATAAATTATTTTAGCAGTCATTTTAACAGTCACATCAAGTACACCGATAGCATAAATATTGTTAAGTATATGAGTCAAATTTAAAACATTTATTTCCATTCGTTCTTTAAATAAATAGCTGTATATAAATGTATAAATTCGACAGAGACGTGAAAAGAGACAAATTAATCAAATTTTAGACATAGGCAAAACTTAATTAAAAGTGATACATAAACTTGATTGTTCGGAAAATAATGAACAAAATTAATTTGTTGTCAGTTACTAAAATTAATCTAACTTTTTATCATTTACCATAAGATAACCGTTAAATTTGTAAATTAATATTATGTATTGCGTTAATCCTAAATTTCCTTATTTTAAAATTAATATTAATTTTATTTTTTTATTATATTCCTAAAAATAACAGTTAATCATTATTTTCCGAACAATGTAACAAACAAAAAATAAGTAAACTCACATTGCGTTGAGTCGATTATCTAAACCTCTGCTTTAATGTTCCACTGCTGCTCTGCTATAATCCCATATGGTTTGGCACTGATCACTGCACTGTTTTTTCTATTATTTTATATTTGCAATAATTATTTATCGCACTTCACTACACGCAGATGCACTTCGAAATGAACGGACGATACGAAAAAAATAAGATCGCTCGCGAATGCATTCGGCACTTTCGATCCAGCTCGATCACGTTCGGTTACATTCGCGAATAAATATACACATAACCGCATCGAATTAAGTTAACTCGCGACATCTTGCGGCGCGCCGCCGCGTCATTTCGCGACATCGCGAAGTGTCATGGCGGAGCGACACTCTTGCGCACCACTGACGGTTACGTGGACAGTCTCGGTACCAAAATATCTCAAGCAACGGGCGCCATTCCTCTACAATTTGAATCGCCGATTTCGAGGAATTCGCGCTTCTCGGATACTTTGTCCGATACTCGGGCACTCCTGGAGATGCTGGAACACTCGCGGACTTCCTCGTCGACCGGGTGACGCCGAAATACCGCACGAGAGTAGTCTCTGTAGTCGAAATACAGTCGAAATACGGACGAAAACGCTATCTCAAGCGACCCCCCCCCCTCCGACCTCCCGCCCAGCTTGCTAGCTCCACGAATTCACGATGCTCCGAGACTCCTGGACACCCGTCGACGCCGGGATATCCCTTCGAAGCGATAAATAATCCTCGCGAGACTCTCTGGCGAGCGAACAGCGCCGAAATACGTGCGAAAACGACGGTGGAACGTTTTTCTCCCCTTTCCCCCTTCCCTCCTCACCCATCAACTCGCGATTCTCCGAGACTTCCGGGTTCCCGTCGACGCCCGGATGCTCTTCGAAAAGATTATTCGGTTTATCGCGTCAAAACACGACACTCCCGGACTTGCACTCCCGTTTATTCGCGTTATTCGAGTACGAATTCCATACGAGACGCGGAGCACTCGCGACGCACACCTTGCTCCTCCGCCGCTGGACTCGCACTAACTGGTGGCGGCGCTGACTGAAGCACGTCACGTCGTGACGTCACGTCAGAATCGGCCGATTTCAAGTGTTACTCTACGCGCGGGAGTTTTCTACGCGTAAATAGTAAATAATATAATCAGCAAGTGTACATAGTTTTAATTCGCCGAATTTCTATTATGTACATAATTTTAATTCGCCGAATGTTTATTATGAACATAATTTTAATTCGCCAATTTTTTATTATGCACATAATTTTCATTTTTATTATATACATAATTTTAATTTTTGAATTTCTATTAGGTCGGATTTACAACAGGTATAGTAAGCTTTAAGAAATTCACCAATCACAGGCAAGCAGGGAACACAGAAATTTTGCAACTGTGTAAATATTATTTTATTAAATAAATATATAAAAATATTTTCATTAAATATAATATATTAAATCTAACACAAAAGTATATATATTTGACTTAAATACTAATATATATTTAATTAACAAAATAGTAATTTAGTTAAAGGTTTAATCAATTTTATTAGCCAATTTTTTTCAGTGTACATTTGCATTTTTTTCTATATTTTATTTATGTATATGTTAATATCACATAGTAATATTAAAGAAGAGCTCCGGCCTTTCTCTGATTTTGCCCAAACAAGGGGCCTGATTTTAATTTACAAATTCATGTTTGACGCATAAAAATATTGTAAAGTTTCGATATACATATTGTAAAATCGAAGAGAATTGTTTTTTCTCAATTTCGCACTGCCATATAAAAATAGCGTAAAGTGTATGTCGCGCCATCTATCGTGTCGCCCCGCAACTACGACTTGGCACTCGACCAATCGGAGACCGGGACTCTCGATCCTGATTGGTCGAGCGCCTCACTCTGGGTCAGTCTAGGTGAATACCTATTTCCCAACGAAATCTAGACTGCTGCTGCCTTCTGGTGTCTTCTCCTCGTTTCTAATCAACGTTCCCGCGTTCGTCGTCGATCTTCTCAGCAAAAATACGAGGTGTGAGTATTAATTAGCGGCTTAACGTGGTTAATTATCGCATCAATCTGATCGCGTAGCGTGTCCAAATATCGTGATCGCGATCCCCCGCGTGGAATTGAGCTTGTCAGTCGCGAATCTTGCTCGACTTTGCTTCGTCCCTCGCATTTCTTGTCGTGACGTCACAGCTCCGTGCTCGAAGACCTCGAATTTCGCGAACGAAAAGAAGAAACGAGTACAAGTGTTTCGAAGCTTCTTCTATGAGGAGTCCTCGACGCAGAGGTTCGTTTCCTACAGGAAATGTGGGATCGGCGAGGAATCCGGAGTACGCCGAGATTGGAGAAGAAGAGTAGTCAAAATGTAAGACAAATTGACACAAATAATTATTTTTCATTATTTGATAAAACGATAGAAAAATATATAATTAATGTTGTAATTGCTATTTATAGACAATTATATTACAATCATAAAAATGAGCTCTCAAATGATGCTTCGGAGAGGTTATGAGAGTAAAAATCGTTCGGAAAAATAAACGTTCTATTTGTCGGTGGGAAAAAATTAGACTATTACGTTATGCATATATGAAATATTAAACAAATATCGTCTGCAAATAATTATGTGATGTTGGAATTATCGAAAATAGTATTGGGAGTATCGAAAATAGTATCGGGTATGTCGAAAAAAATATCGATAGATATTACCACGAAATTGTTGATTGATTGGTTATATATGTTATGTACAAATATAGTATATTCGCATAGATAATGTAGGGTAATTCCAATTAAATGAACTCTACAGAACTATATATATATATATATATATATATATATATATATATATACAACTCTAGATATTAAATTTAATATTACTGAGAAATTAAATTATTGAACATAAACATTGCTAAGAAATAATATATATAATAATAATAATGTGACAAATGTTTAATGATTTAATAATATGTAGGTTTCTTCACCAATTTTTTCAAACTAATATATTTTATTTCTGGAATCTGTGTTCATATATGTATATTTATCATAAATAGTAATATTATATATTTATGTAGAATTACATGTATTAAAAAGAAATGAGCGAGACAATTTTTTTCGAGACGATTCAGTTTCTATACCTTAAAATACATAAGATGAGTTTTAAAAATACAGACAAGAAATCCCTTTACTGAACATTTATTGTTATAATAAAATGCACATATTTTTCTTTATCACTATATAATTAACGAATGTCTCAATTATGTACGACGAAGACGAAAGCATCCTTTTTTTTACATTAATTGTGTTATCAAGTATATGTTACAATGTACATTATCATCAATGTCGTTTTTGTTTCGATTTTTTTGTTACACGCTATTGAAAGAATCATTGTTAACGATTGTCTTTAATTAAATTCTTTCTTTCTTTTTCTAATGTACATAATACGCAATAATATTTGTTTATATTTTTGCATTTTCTCATAATAACGTTTTTTATTATAGGATATCCAGAAATGAGAAGTGCATCCCAGGAGTAAATGCAGCTGTATAAATCATCGAGGAAGATATTAATAATGAAGAAAAAAAGATAAGAAAACATTCTCCACAAAAAAAGGTAAGAGAACATTCTCTACAAAAGAAGGTAAAAGAACATTCTCTACAAAAGAAGGTAAGAGAACATTTTCCATATATGGTAAAATCTTACTATATACAAGATGAAAATTCATTTAATGGGGTGTCAATAAATATTGCATACTTTAGTGATGCAATGATAGTGATCATAAACGATTAAACGGTCAGTATATTAGCCAGATCATTATATTTGAATATCGTGGATTGATTATATTTGACTCTCCAAATAAACAGCCACTTCGAATAATCTCATGAATTAATATCATCCATCCTCTCGTGGCTGTTATTGACATTTGTTTATTCATGCTATTATACATTATGCGTACGCTACTATAGCGACATTCAATTTTATCTATTTAACTAAGCATAATGGAAGTTACAAAGTTTGCCTTGTTCGCGCAGATTTATGTGTGCGGAACAGTTTAAACTTAAATTAGAAAGGACTTTATTATAATTTACTGAGCTTCATTAGGATCTTTACCGTCTTTTTGTTAGTAGATATTCTCGAGGTGAACTGAGAGATCCTCTTCGACGTATTTTGGTAAAATAAATAAGTAGACTCTTTCTATGAACCATGACGGATACCAGGTCTTTGATAAGATCGAGACGGCTATCTTGTTACTTTTTCATCGTAATCATAATAAAACCTCCACCGTTAACGAACTCTGTTTCCCTGTAACTACGTTAATTGGTCTTCGAGTAGCTCATATGACCCGATCACCTAACGGGTGTCTCCTTTACGTATATCGCATGATAGTTCACTGAACTATCATGCGGTAGTTAAATATTTATCGCTATTAATTTCTGGGCTGCACACACGCGTAGCGCCGTAACTAACGCATTTTATATTTAAATGTAATCTCCATTTATTTTTTTATATGCATACGCATTTTGCTTCTTAAAGCTCGAGCGATGCAAATAGTTTATTACGAAAAAATTACTCATTTTCTTATTGCGAAATTGTTTACGTATGTGTATATGGAAAAAATATTAGCTATGATGGCTAATATTTTTTTTCCGTGATAGATCATTTGTCTATCATACAAAAAAATTAGACATCATAGCTAAATTCCGTATTTAAATGCATTATTTATATATTTCTTCTATGAAACTATCGAATATCTGAAATTAAGAAAATTCGAGCTAATGTATCCGTGAATCGATCCGGACTTCGAGGAAACTAATCGTTTCTTACGAACGTCCCACGCTTTGTCGTACGCGCGTCGATTCGAGAAAGAGCATCGGGTCGCTTCCTATTCAGAGAAAGAGCTGCAGTTCTCATTCAATTATATAGCTCGCGAATCGTACAACATTCAAAATAAGAGAAGAAGGATCCTAGCAAGGAGAACGGCGAGAGGAAGAGGAGTGAAAGAGCAAGAGGATGTTTTACGAGAGAATTGACGCGGAGATAGGAGACGGAAAACTTGAAGCATGCCGAGAGGGAAAAGAGGAAAAAGACGGAAACACGGGGAAGAGAGCAAGGCGAGAGGAAAAGGAAAAAAAGCGTCATCGTCATCGTCGTCGTCGTCATCGTCATCGTCATCATCGTCGTCGTCGTCGTCGTCGTCGTCGTCGACGTCGTCCAAGCGGATGCGATACGAGATCATACGCGATGCTCGCCGTTGGCTACTATCTAGCTTAACTCGAACGTGAAAGCCTAACGCGTTCTCCTTCTTCTTTTGCCGTACGTGCGAATTTTTTCTTACGGCAATGTCTCCTCATCAGAGGAGAGGAGAGCACCTGCTGCGAGCGACGAATGGTACGCGTTGCGGTCGCACGGCTCCGTCGTTTTTCCGCACCAAGCCGCACGGTTTCGCAGCCTGACGCGACCCAATTGGCAGCGTGAAAGATATACGCGGCGAATCGCTCAGCTCTCGGATAAGAAAAAAAAGAAAAAGAGCGGAAGATTATAGCATACACCGGACTTTCTTCTCTCGCTGGCGTGAAACTCGCTCGTTTCATCGTTTGCGCATAATAAGCGGATAAGACAAGAGTTAGAATTTCAGAATATTTTGCCTGTTCCCACACGTCTCTCTTTCTCTCTTTCATTTCTTATTTCGTCATTTGATTCATTTAATATTAATACCTACAGATTGATTGTAATACAGCCATCACGGAAATAAATTAGATACCATAGATAAATTTTAACTATTCCTACACGGAAAAAAAGAATTAGCTACCATAGCTAAATTTTAGCTGTCCATATATTGCAACCTGAAATTTAGTTATCGTGCCTAAATTTTAGCTATGGTAACTAATATTTTTTAGCCATAGTTTAACGGAGAATGTTATAGCTAAAAAATATTAGTTGTCATAGCTAAAATTTAAGCATGATAACTAAATTTCATGTGTAATATATAGACAGCTAAAATTTAGCTATGGTAGCTAATTTTTTTTCCGTGTATATATTTTACATCTGAAATTTAGTTATCATACTTAAATTTTAGCTATGACAGCTAATATTTTTTAGCTATAATTTAACAAAGGATTTTCTATTTAATTATAGTTAAAAAATATTAACTATTATAGCGAAAATTTAGGAATAATAACTAAATTTCAGATATAATGTGGGGACAGCTAAAATTTAGCTATGACGGTTACTTTTTTTGTACAAATAACGTCAATTCTCATAATATTATTTAATTCTTTATTGATAGCGAGTCAATTTGACACTTTCAAGATAGTGATATTCTAACACAGAATAGAATACGTTTCCTATAAAAAATTTCTCACATATCTGTCGGCTCTCTCCTCACTGGGTACGTGAATTTCTTGTGTCGCGTGATCGTCGCAGAGAGAAACATCTGGCGAGATGTCTGCCAGAATGTTGCGCGGGTCGCTTTTCGCTCGCTATAATTCACGTCCTTTGTCAGAAATTCTACTATCTAGCGAGCGACGGGTATCCCTAGTTAATTCACTACATTTGTGCAAGATTATATTACATATTTTATAAGTAGATATATAAACGACGATATATTTCTTTTAAGAGAAGTAAAAAATTTTAATCTAGTCATTCTTAAATCATTTAATAATTTCTTAATATAAATACTCTTCTAATTTTAATCGCATATGCACACTTGGTATAATAATTTTTTCAGTTCTTAATATATGGCAATTACATATATTTATTAAGAAAAAAGTAATAGTTATTTTTAAATATATAATTAAAATATTTTAGAACGTTAAAATTTTCTTTTTAATATCTCGCTGCATTTTTGAAGAAATAATTCGTGTAATGCTATCGTAAAGCATTCGCAATCATTCTATGTCTTAAAATAAAGATATTAGAGGCTCATTGCGAATGCAGATGGATCATTTGCAAATTCATTTATCTTATAAGAGAACGTTAATCTGTTCATTAGCCGGGAACGTCGAGAGTAAGCTATTGCGAGAAAGCGGCGATAGGTCCAAAGACATTCTCCTTCATCGATCATGATCACGATATCGGCATCTTGTAGCCACATTTCCTCCTCCTCTCACCGACTATGCAAAGTGTTTCTTTCGTTTTCTCATAAAGAACTTGACAAAATAATATCACATTAATAAAAAGAATTTAATATAATAAAATTATTATGAGAAACGTATAATTTAATTAGCAATGTTAATGAAACAACAATATGATAAAATGTATATATCCATGTACAGATATCTTATTGAACTTTTACAATCTATGCACTTATTCAGAATTTTTATGTTTACAAAGTTTTTAGGTTTACACATTTGAAATTTTAACATTGGATTTGCATTAAATACGATATTAAAAACTTTCAAGTAAATTTTCTAAAGTTTAGGTCTATTTTCAGTTTAGCTGAAATATACTTTCTGTTTTGATACGAAATCTTTCCTTCGCAATGTATTGCTGCAAACATTATCGGCGAATTATATCAATACTGCAATATGATATTTGTAACTTGCATTATACAGCTGACTAATGCAGCGAGATGCAAAGTAGAAATATAGTATAATCCACGTATTTTCGTCGACCGGAGAATCGTGCTAGTGTGTGCTTAATCGTGAATAATCTGTTTCGTGAAAATAGAAATGTCTACGTTTTCCGCCTCGGCTCTACTACGCGCTCGGTGAAGTGAATTTTCTTTTCTCGGATTCTCTATATACGGGCGGCAACGCGAAGTAATGTCTACTTTATCCATGCCTCACAAAACGTGCATGCGACGAAACTGGCAGCTGCGCGATTTTTTACGTTTTCTAATATAAACGCGAGCCGACGAAAATTGGAGGCTGCTGCCAGACGTCGAGATGAATTCGCGTCGGCCACGTTGGCAATTGCGATACTGCTAAATACGTCGCTCTGCGAGACGATCATATATCATAATTTGCAGCAAACTATGCACTTGCAAAGTGCAACTGTGAAGCGCGTTTCGCGAGAAGCGTTTGGATACTCTTGATATCTATACGATTGCAGAATTCCGCTTACGTTACAAAGAAGAAAAAATTGATTAATCATTTCTATCAATATGTATCTTTACATGTCAGGACTCGCAGTATTTTACTATGTATTTCCCATGAGCTTTAATATCATCTCTCTAAAATCAAACGGCAGAGTTCGTGAATCATTCATTTCGCTGTTCAACAATAAATTTTTTTTATCACTGCAACGAGATTATTTCTTCTAGTTTTTCGGATGCTGAATACGAATCCGGATTTCGAATTGCTCCATCACGTCACAATTTTGAGAAATTTTTAATGACAGTTGTAAAAAGGTATATTTTCGTCATATTATAACTACAATATGTGACGTGCTAGAGAAATTTTATTGCAATCAAACTAAAGTATGTTGTGAGACTTTTTAACCCTCAAAAAGAATTTTTAATGTTGGTTATGATTAACAAGCTATCCATGGTTAAATATAAGCTGTGTTGCAGAAGTTAGTCGATTACAATTAGGTCATGTGAATTTAATGTCAAAATTGTCAAATTCAGAATGACACTCAATATGAGAGATGCCAATTGATCGGCCAATTGAGTTCATCATTTTGAATTTGACAATTTTGATACTGAATTATTCAGTGATCTAAAAAAACCTTTAAGATTAAATAAACATAATTGAAAAATCGTCAATGACTTAAGTCACAACTAACTTTCGCAATATACATCCCATATATTTTTTATTGATTATAACCGGCTTAAAAATTCCTTTTGAGGGTTGAAAGTCTTAACAATGTACTTTATTTTGATTGCAATAAAACTTCTCTAGCACGTCACATATTATATAGCTATATAATATAAAACAATGTTCGTGTAAAACCCCTATTTTGCAACTTTCATGAAGAATTTCTCAAAATTGGAACGTGATTGAATATAATTTGCAAACCAAATTCGTATTCAGCATCCAAAAACTGTATAAGAAACGACTGGTCTCTCCGGTTAATTTTTTTTGTTGAACAGTATTTATATCATAAATCGACAAATGTACATTGAAAACCGATTCGCTACTCGGTTCCTCGTAACGATGCGTCTTCGATGTTCCCTCGAGTAGGTAAATGATCGTATAAAATGATTCTAATGCCGTCTCTACCCTAGGTTTGCAATCGGTGCGGCGTTGGAAGAGCGACAGAGGCGAATGAGAATTACGGCGTAGAATTCGCAATTTACAACGGCGTGAAACGATTACGAGGAATGAGGAGGAACGTTGGATGGCGCGTATGGATCGGGCTTTAGAAGCGCTGCGGATCTCTTTGTGCTACGCTAAAACGAGGACCGTCTTCTTCCTTCTCCTCTTGGACGGCCTCTGATACCCTCTCCGACCACCCTCTCATCGCCGCCGTGCTCTGTCTTCTTCCCCTGTTTCCCCTGTGCCCATCCTGTCCTTACGACGAGTCATCTCGTTTAGGTCGCGCTGGCAGCAGCGGTGGCGGTGAGGAGGGCCGTGAAAAGGAAGACCGAGTGATGTTGCGGGGGAGAATACGGCAGGAGTGAAAGAGAGAGAGAGGAAAGGGCTGGTGAACCAAGGAAGGAACGAGTAGAGCCGAGAAGAGGCGACAGGGTCGAGGGAGAGTAGCTGCGGGACAGAAGGATATATGGCTGTATATTATGTACTTGGACCCGCGCGTTATATACGCCTTCGTCATCTTCCACATAGAAAGAGAGAGAGAAGGAGAACAGGTGTACGTATACACCGACGCGTGACTATGGATGTGTATGTGTACATATGTGCGTGCGAGAAATCTCTCTGTCGAGGTATCTTTCTTTCTCGTTCTCTAAGTGTGTGTGTGTGTGTGTATGCGCGAAGGTTCACTTCGCACGCAAGCGAAGCTCTACTCTCTAACCAGCTCGAATCGAAGATACGGACCTGGAATCACGCGAGCGCGTAAAAATGATCTCTGGTCGCGTATAACGTGGGAGAAGGAGGATCCGAGTTTGCGGCAAGAATTCGCCGATACAAACGAATAAACGAAGAGGAAATTCTGGGCGCAACATATTTGATCGATGATGAATATCCTTGAAGAAACGTTATGTAGTGTTACATAATATCGTTAGGGAGACACTGACGATTACGTGCATAATTGAAGTATTGAGGATGATATCGGTCTGAATCATAAAAAATTCTTGAAAGAGGGCAAGGAAATTTGAAAAACCTTAGGATCAATAAAATCATAGGAGTCTTTAAATTTCACGCATGATAACATACATTAATTTTGTTTAGTATAATTCTGAATATGAAATTATTTATGTGCACACTCTTGATTAACTACTTTGATGTACAAACATAATAGTAAGGACAGCTTATAATTGCGATTATATTTTTGAGCAATTGTATTATTATTTATTTTTTAAATGTAACGGATCATGTTTACGGTGATGATGCAAATAGTATACCACAGTTGCATACTGCATATAATAAGGGACGGTAATTGCGCTATAAATATGTACGAAATACATATATACTCAATGTAGAATGTAACAGCTAAGAATTATTTTCTGTTTTACAATCCCGCGGTACAATCTAAAATTATTCCAGAACAGGAAACAGTGTGTGGTTTATCTTGATAAGGTCATATCACTGACTCTCGTCTTTTCCTGCTATTTCATAAAATATTATGAATATATTAAATTAAAAAAAAACTAATTTTTCTTTCTTTCTTTTTATCTGCTTCTTCTATTTTTTATTACTTTTTATTTAAAATTAGTAAATTCTTATGAATAATGTTACGCGATATTGATTATTCGTGTAAAATTTAGAAGATGTGAGATTTAATAAAAATTTAACATTGTATTTGCCAACCATAATCACGGAAACTGTTTCTGTTAATTTATAATCAAGTAATATTTTTTCTTCACTGCAAAAAATCTTACGTATGCAATTATCACTTACAGATCGTCATAAGAATTTATTATTTTTTCAGAATTTTTTATGGAAAATACTTTAAAGAAATTTTTTGGCAATTATAATTGAAAATAACAAAAAGAATAGGTATCTAGATTATATATATATATATTTATTTAGCGCAATGTTGCGCAAAATGATCAATAGTGCTCTCTGACGGTGGATATGTTTATTTCGTTCTTGTTCTTAGCGGTAGAAGATAATTAAACAATGAATCTCTTTCAACTTTAGTCGGTATTCGACTCAATTGATAAGTAGAAAAATGTAGACTTAAATGTTCCATCAATTAATAACCACGCAACAATGATATAATTTGTAAAAATTTTATTTTATAATTTTTTTTTGTAAAATAGAACTTTTAAAGTTCATATTTTTTTATTAATTTATTGCATACATTTATTTTTAATGGTTAGTTTTTCATTATATCATAAATTCCATAAACTTATGTATTATTAACTTTGATATATAACCATAAATTGCCACCTTTAAGCTAGTTTAAGCTATGTGTTTTATAGAAAAATATTTCAGATAAAAGCTTGTTTTGAAATTGATGTAACCGCTATTATTTTATTTCAAGCAAAACTACTATATTGGGACCCAAAATTTGCAATAGTTTATAAATTTATTTATTTTGGTATTAAAATATTTATTACAATTTTACACAATAATGAGTAAATTAATTTATAATACTTTTTTTTAAACGTAATTATGTATTTTTTTATTTTAATTTTAATTTGCTTCATTATTTTTTGTATAAAATCATCGAAAAATAAATATTTTAAAATATATTACATTTTATGTGTAATATCTTATAAATACTTATTTTGCACAATAAATATTATTGTTATTATTATTATTATTATGTCATAATGGCTAAAATAAATCATGAACTATATTTTACATTATTATAGTATTTTATGTTTTATACTTTGTATTATATATAGAATGAAATGAGAAGAATTCATTTCCGTGAAAAAATATATTTCTGTTTAAAAAATAAAAAGATGACCATGAAATCTTAATAATTTTTTTAGAATAAAATTTTAATAATTAGAGAATGTCTTTCTATAAAAACCAAGCAATTTTCATCTAAAACATTTTTCTATAAGACAGATCTTAGAATTTAAATTGATAATGGCAATTTTTAGTAATTTATCCTGTTTATCTCTTTTTTTATATTAAAAAAGTTAGTTACGGTTAGTTTTCATAAAGCTTTGATGTTATCTAATCGCAGAGTTACTTATATTTAGGATATAAATTGATCTGGGTGTTACTTTTTCCAAATGACAGCCATGCAAATATGGGAAATGCCGTCGCACTCCAATAAATGAACTTCATCAAAATATTATAATAAATTCTTATTACCGGTCCGATATATGGCAAAACTAGAAATATGACAAACAAATTAGCATATCGTAAAGTGATGAAATAATGCAATGACAAATCTCTTTCTGATCATTTGATACTTACAATACAATTTTAAAATGAGATCACGATATTTCATGTTCAACCAACTATACCATCCAAGCGATGTCTTATCTGAAACGTGAATGATCTTTAATTGAATGTTTATTGCGTGCATATCTGCATAATAATATATATTTATGCAAATAATATATAACAAAAATAAAGTAATAATCGAGTTTTCCTCTTACATTCGATATTATGTAACTGATATGATAATGCTAACAAAGCATCTCTATTTAGACTGATGTCAATATATCCTATTCCATCTAATACATTTGATATTACGTGTATAAAGTCCGATGAAGCGTTATTCAAATAATTCGTGAATATCTCGTTGACTATCTTCTGACTTAATTCACGAGTTTCTATTGCATTCTTACGACATATATTTAATCTGTGAATAAAAACAATAATTAATGAAAATAGTAAAAAATTGCTAAATTGGACTTATAATTCATTACGAGATATCTTTATTAATTTTATAAACTAAAATATATGAGAGAGATTCCCTTTTTCCCGAAAAAATTTTCCATAAAAATTTGTTTATGTGCCAAATTTATATAAAATAGGTCTGAAAGGGGGAAGAGGGGGTTAACACTCCTTAAAAAAAGTTTTTTTTAACCTAATTTATATAAATGAGCTTAAAGGGGAATAGAGAGACTGACTTCCATTTAGAAAGAAAAAATTATATACATATATTTTCAGCAAAAATTATATGACAACATTAAATTTAAGTTAATTTTATTATAGTAAAAAATTTATTATTTAAAATTATGATATCTATTACCTGTCGGAAATTCCTATTAAATGGCCAAACACACGCCAGAAATGATTAAATCCTTCTTCTTCTTCTAATTTATTGCGTAAACCGAAAGACTCAGTTATAATAAAAAAGTATGCTATAAAACCGCATTGTGTAATTGCCATATCTTTTTGAAGAATCCCTTCTAAACCGGTCTTGTTTGATATCTTTGTAATTATATTATGTCTCCAGCGAGTTATATTTATCGATTTGTACAAACTAAAAATTGAATACAGTATGTAATTTTATATATTATATATTTTATTTTTATTATAATATATATTTTATTTTAAAAAATTTTTAAAGTTATATTCGATTATAGTTTGAGTACATTTTAAACTGAAGTACATTATTTGCAAATTAAATTTTAACATAATAATTTAAATTTCTTATTTTTGTGCTTTATAATAAAATTATATAAAATATAATACAAATCAAATTTGGCTTAAATTTTGTTAATAATTTAACAATTTATTAAAATTATTTTAAGGGGGCCTGCTTTAGAAAGCTAAAAAATTTTTTATATTTGTAAATATTTAATAATATGTAGATGCCTAAAAGTTTTAGAATAATTCGCTGTAAAAATTTTCAAAAAGAAATTCTCAAAATTCAAACTGATTTTTTGGTTCTCTAAAACAGGCGTTCCCTTTAAGTTAGTAAATTATCGCTTCTGTGTTATTTTCTCTTCAAGAAAGACAAATAATCTTTAATATAAAATATAAATTTGAAAAAGCTATGATTTTTTAAAATAATAATAGTTAATAATATATTTATTAGAGATATAAAATATTGCGATAGAATGAGAAATGCATATGCATAAGAAGAACAATACATTTAAAAAAAACTTACTTGGAATGTGGATCATTTGGATCGCACATAATTATGTTAAATACATGTAATTGCGATCCAAGGTGTCTTTTGAAAGCAAGGCAAGGCGTACTACTTTGCTTTGTGAGCTTAACCACCTGATAAAATAAAGATAAAGTTTATTTTTAATTCTTCATTACTTGATAAATATTATTTTGTTACATATTTTGTGACAACATATTTTATATACCTAATAATAATAAATTATTAAGAAGTTTACATAATTTTATTTTTTATTAAGATTATTATAATATTACTAATTGTAAATAATGCTGGCTATTGTACGAAAATGATCATTTTGCTTATTTTAATCATTATTATTGTTAAATATGAAATTTAAATATTATTGTTAAAAAAATATGAAACTTAAATACCTGCCGTATAGTTGGAATTGATAAGATTGAAATAAGTCCGAGTATGTAAGTTAATTCTCCTAGCAACATGTTTTGCTTATAATAGTTTTGACCCCTGAAATTAAATATTCATTATTACTGGGATATACTAAATCATTACATTATTCATTGATAATAAATTTATTACTACTAAAAGTTGATTTATAAACAATTTGCGTTATTTCTAATGTGCTCCAATTTTATAAACTTTTTAATTAAAAAACTTTATAAACTTCTCGATTGACATGTTATTTAATATCATATTTATTATTACTTGAAAAATATACATAATGTACAATATACTTAATGCCAAAAAGTACTTTTTTATTAAACTATAAATAACATTGCAGTAATTATTTTTTTATTTTATAATTTTTATAGTCTCGAAACAAATATTTTATATATCTTATAAATAATTGTAATTAAGTAAAATTTATGTATATTATACATGATTGACGTTTTTATTCCATATATATGTACATTAAATCGTACGGTGAATAATTTATTGTCGTTAATTTTGGGACATGCTAATGAAATAAAATATATAATAAATATATTTCTTGGAAATATAAATGAGAGATAAAGTCATATATTTTTCATGTGAATAAAAATATGTATATGTGTATAAAAAAAAATATATATATATATATAAAATACATAATGAGAGAATATATAGATATTTATCAATATTGTCTCATTATAGTATTTCAATATACAGGGTGTTCCAGAATTACCGTATCACACGTTAATGGGAGATTCCTGAGGCGATTTAGAGACGATTTTTCCTCAACGAAAATGTCCAGGCACCAATAATTTTCGAGTTATAAATAATTGAAAATAAAAACTTTTTTGTAAACTAAGCCTTGTAAAAATAAATTATTAACAAAACTACATTTTTTAGTTAATTTTAGGTAAAGTTTACTTTAATAGAATTTTAATTTAAGGCTTAGTTACAAAGATACATGATTTCAAAAATTGGAAACATTAAAAAAATGACATTTTTAGACATTTTTGCTGAGGAAAAATCGTCTCCAAATCGCCTCAGAATCTCTCATTAACGTGTGATACGGTAATTCTGGGATACCCTGTATAGAATTTCAGCGTGTTTGTCATACATGATACTTACTTTTTAAATAATTTTTCATTATACCAATCTGGGAAATCATTGGGGAATATATCGGTTAGTTCTGGGTCGAGTACACTCTTATTCTCGACGAGTAATTTGAAATGCTCATCCACCGTTGATGTTTGAGCTGTAATATAATAAGGTATAAATTGAAGCTCGTATAAGAACTAGTGCTGTGGCACATCTTTTTGATAGATTTTATCACTGAATTCTAATCAGAAATAGAAATGGTAATCAAAAAAAAAATTTTTTTGAACAAATTTCTGAATAAATTCTAAATAAATTAAAAAATTATAACACTTGAATCAATAACAATAAATAATTTTGATGTTTTCTAAATCGGCCAACAGAGCCAAAGCACGAAAAATTAATTATTCGGAACTGTACCTCTTGGTTTGAGATCACAAAGTTCCATATATAAATTAATTTACATATAGAGAAATAGGCGCGAAAAATATACGTCCGAAAAGTCGCTGAAGCGGGAATCGAACCCGCGTTTTTCACTTTCCGGGCGACTGCTCTTACCAACTAACTTTCTCTATATGTAAATTAATTTATATATGGAACTTTGTGATCTCAAACCAAGAGGTACAGTTCCGAATAATTAATTTTTCGTGCTTTGGCTCTGTTGGCCGATTTAGAAAACATCATATTTATATTCTTTATATTGAGAGCCGATAAAAATATTTATTTCTGAATAAATAATTTATTAAAGGTCGAAAAATATTATTTTATAGAAAAATATTTCAAAGATTTTGATGTTCTTTTTAGGACATCTACAAAGACACATCCAAAAATTATTTTACATAGTTTAAAATATTTAAAATATTATCTACTTTTTTTAAAATTACAAAGATGTATATTGCTTCCTTGTTAAAAAACTTTATTTTTTTTAAATTTATTTTTATTTAAAATGTAGTCATTTTCTTAATCTAAAATATATGGATACTATACGTACAAAGTGTTCTATAGAAAATTGCTGAAACTGATCAACTGTCATTTTTTAATGCATGTACTTAGTTATTGAGAAAACAAAAATTGTGTTAAAAAGAAAGTTTGCAATTTTTAATGGATATAAATAAAATGTATGTATATCAGTTTATTTTATTGAAAAAAAGAATGAAAAAAGTGCTAATAATTACATATGTAAACTAATGATAAATATTTTCGAAGTGCGCACCATTTGAATTGGTTCAAAATTCTGTTCTTTTACGAAAACTCGTAAAAACTTTTTTTAAAATGTTATTTTTAATGTTATTGGTGATCCTTTTAATAGCTGCTATTAAATCTGACACTGTTGAAAATATTTATCATTAGTTTATGTGATTTTATGTAATTATTAGCACTTTTTATTACTTTTTATCAATAAAATAAACTATTATACAAATATTTTATTTATATTCATTAAAAACTGCAGACTTTCCTCTATCCAACACAATTTTTGTTTTCTAAATAACTGCATTAAAAAATGACAGCTGATTAGTTTCAGCAATTTCCTATGGAACACTCTGTATAATATTAGCTACATATTATGTCAATAATATCTATAATGTGTTTATATTTTTGTCACAAAAATAGCGCTACATCTGTGAATTAGTTTTAGAGGTATGGAAATATTAAAAAACATTCTATATACAATGTATAATTCAAACTTTAATTTATATATTTAAGACACCAAAATTGCTCAAACTATTTATAATCTATATTACTACTTTGATCAATAATGAATCTTATAAAACATATGATTATCTTTTAATTATCTTTAATGTGAATTATTATCTTACCGTCATCAATATGTTTCCCCTTCATCTTCTGTCTTATATGTTATTGCAAATGATGATACCGATTGCACTTGATAATAATTACTTTGTAGAATACCTCAAAGATCAATTACTTGTAAGAATATTTCGTTTAAACTACAAACAGTAATCACATTCAGCTTTACTAATGCAAAGGACTAAAAAATGTGTTACACAATAATTATTAAGGTGTAGCAACTCGATGTCTTAAGTGAGATATCACATCACGAGATGATCATCACATACTGTAGAATATTGCGAGTAGGAACCTGTTGTTCCACTCACTATATAGTCTCCCTCTATTCTTTTTTCCAATCTCACTTTTTATATCCGCATATTAAAACGCTTTTTACTTTGTTTTAATCTGCGGATTTGTTTTTTATTCGTTTATTAATCATAATTCACAATGTAAATGAGTTATAAGGCAATAAAAATATTTAGAGGACTAAATATATATAAAATTTTGTTAGAAGAACAGTTTAAATAGAATAATTCTTTAATAAAAAAAATATGATTAATGAAGCAAAAAATCATTAAGACCATTATATACATACATGTATAACGCACTTTAGTTTATCATTGCTATGTTGATTAACATTGTTACGCAAGGTATCACATTAAAAACGAGAATACGTTTTATCATCGCGAGAAAAAAATAAATTAAATTCAAATGAGGAATAGTACTACGCTACATTTTTAAAGATAATCGCGTAGAAAAATTAAAAAATAAGATATTCTACATGACATATAGTATTTCAATTACTTAATTATATAGTATTTTAATTAGTTTAATTTGTTTAAAATTATAGAATGTTTTCAAGTGTTTTACAAGAAAATATATAAAAATTTTAACAGAATACTATTTAAAATATTAAAAATACATACTTATAATAATATATATAATTAATTTTGTGTTTCTAACTTTTCTTTAAAAATCATGTGAATATGATACCTCAATAAGTTGAATCATAATATTACTCATCTTTTCAAGTTTTCTTATTCTTTTATTCCATTGCGATTAAATATCACAAAATTATCTGTTTCTTTACGAAAAATAAATAAATGCTGAATTATTTTTAATCTTAATTGTATTTTGACGACCAAGCTTTCTGATAAGGTTATTTTTGAAAACGATCGCTCTCAAACAATCGCGTTTAGCAAAATCATCAAAGTAATTTTCAAACAAGTTTCCGAAATACTAATATGTATATAATAATTATTGAAAATTAAGAAATATGACATTTGTCACAAAGTCGAACATAGCTTTGACAAATGTAATAAATTGACAAAATCAAAACTATATATATGTAGGATATAGTTTAATTTGGCAATTTTCTTTCCCAAATGACCACCACGCATGCACAGGCCATTTTTGAACTAGCCATAATGTAAATATAAGCATATAGTTATAATAAGTTTTCACCACTGTTCCGATATAAGGTACCACTAAAACAAATGAAGAGTTAATCAGTATACTGAAAATACCATAAAATATTGGAAAAATTTAAGTAAACTATTTACAGCATAGATAAAACGTCAAATCACGATATTTCATATTTAGCCAACTGTACCATGTAAGCGGTTTTTTGTCTGAAAAATAAATGATTCTTAATTCAAAAAATTAAATTTTTTAAAATAAATTGACAAGTGTCCGAAACGTTTATCGCTTTAGATAAATTAAAAACACTATATATCTAAAAATCTAAATATTTAGATTTTTTATTGTAATGTGCCACAATATAAGAGTTACATGACATAAAAATCTTATTTATATAAATATGCAGCACGTAATAATATATGTTATATATTTTTATACAAAAATTTTATTCATGATTTTATTTGATATGTATATTAATATTTATTTTTATTTAATTTAAGTAAATTTATAATAAATGAGAATGCAATTAAATAATTATCCATGTAACATTGAATGTAATTTTTATAAAATTATAACTTATTTATTTTTTTTCAAAATAATTTTTTTTTAAGCAGGGAGCAAAAATAAAAATAGACACATCGAAAGAATTCATGTAAATAATGAAAACAAAACTACATTCAAATACTAACATTTAATACCATGTAGTCGATAAATAAATGACAGGAGAGCATCTGCATTCAAGGTTACGTCAATGTACCATAATCCATTTGATATGATTGATACTATGTGGTAGAAATCAGGTGGAGCTTCATTTAAATAATTCACTAAAATATCGCTGCTTATCTTTTGGCACAATTCATGAGTTTCCACTGCGGTTTTGCGACATATATTTAATCTGTCCATAACAAAATAAATAATATCCATAAATAATTAATCAAATTTGGAAGAAAAGTGCGATAAAAAAGCTAATACACGTCTACTAGTTATTTTATATATTATATACAATATCAAAAATAGTAAAAGGAAGAACATTCGAATGTCTTTCTAAGTAAAATTTATCTTTTGATATTGTGTATTACCTATCGGGAATTCCTAGCATGTAGCCTACTACACGCCAGAAATGATTAAGCGCTTCGTCTTCTTCCGGTTTATTGAGCAATCCAATAGATTTAGGCGCAATAAAAACATATCCCAGGAAAGCGAATTGCGTTAATGCCATATCTTTTTGATAAATTCCTCCGACACACGCCTTCTTTGATCTTTCACTGCTGATCTGGTGTTTTCGGGTAATTACATTTACTGTCTTGTACCAACTAGATAAATTCAGAATTTCAAGAATTAGTGTGAACAGTTACATTTTTTTACACAATTAAAGTTTTAGTGTTTGATCAATGGCATATTTGTAAACGATTTAAGATGTGGAATAGAGTGAACATGTATCATACAATTAAAACAATGATGGCTTTAAAACAGAGAAAAAGTAAAGAATAGACAGAATAAAGATATAACATTAATAAATACAAATATATTATAACAAGAACTTTTAAGTTTTAAGGAAAAATATTAAACAAATTGCAATAAGCGGAGTTAATGAAGCATGCTGCGAGAATACTTGTCAAGCGAGTTTAAAGAAAACTCACTTGACAGGTGTTACTAATGAGGTGTTGTTTATGTGTTTTGATTCGATAAAATTTTTTTCTTCTACTAATAATTGGAAATGTTTATCTACCGTCGAAGTTTGAACTAAAAATAATAAAAGTTGATGAAGCATGCTGCGAGAATACTTGTTAAGCGAGTTTTATTTAAAATACTACTACTAAATAAATACTATAACTAAATAAAAATTACTTGGAATCCGGATCATTTGGGTCACATGTATACAAGTTGTGTATGTGCAATAAAGTTTCAATATATCTATTAAAAGCTATATGAGGTATATTGCTTTTTTTGGTGAATATAAGGACCTAAACAAAATTTTTAATTTGTTATTTCATAAAAGAATATATATTATTGTTTCTTTTTACCACAATAATTTCTTAAATCTATTTAATAATAATAAAATATTAATTTAAAAATAATAAAGTTATTTAATATTAAAGTTATTTATAGTAATTTTAAATGATAAATAATATTAATATTAAAAGTATATTGTATATGTATGTTTTATATATATAAGATGCAAACATATAAAATTGTAATACCTTTAATATATCTGGAATTGCTAGTATGGCAAACAGTCCCATAATGCTAGATACTGCCATCGCCATAGTATTTTGATTATAAAAATGTTGAGCTCTAAAATTAAACATTTATATCTTCCTCTAATAAAATAATTAATATTTTTCCAGCATAATTCTTTCTCACATTCAATATGAAGAATATTTTCTTTTGTTTATATCGCGAATTACATACTATATAATTATATGATTATTAATTATGATTATAGAACTTCAATATTTTGTCATGTACAAATGCTTACTCTTTGAATAATTTTTCATTAAACCAATCTGGCAGATCAGCAGGTGTTACTGATGAGGTGTTGTTCATGTGTTTTGAATCGATAAAATTTTTTTCTTCCAATAATAATTGGAAATGTTCATCTACCGTCGAAGTTTGAACTAAAAATAATAAAATATAATAGTATGTAAATAATTTATCTTAAATTTATTTACATAACTTTACAATTTATCTGTTATTATTTTAATTTATTATTAATTTACAGTACGGTTGTACAGCTTCTGAATACCTCTGTCTAATTTTTGTATTAGAATGTTTTATAGTTTACTAGGCATATTTTTCTGGCTGACAATGAGATCGAATCAGAATGATAGCTCTTTAATTGATTTTATTTTTAGGAAACAGAAAATAATCAGCAGGCGCCAAATCTAACGAATTAGGAGGGTGACTAAGAACAGTAATATGTAAGTTTTTGCAAGAAATTGCATGATAAGTTGTTACAAGAAGAACAGTATTGTCAGACAGTTTTTGCAAAGAAAGCTACCTAAATACATATGTACTCCCATACACACATGTTACTGTTCTAAGCTATTTTCTCTTTTCTCCATATGTAGGACCTATTAATTATATCATTTTTGTTACCTAAAATGAAATCGCAATTAAAGGGACGTCATTTTGACTTTTTAGTCATCTAAAATGTGACGAATAAACTACACAACATTCCAGCACAAGAATTCTACAGAGGTATACAGAAATTGTATGACCGCAAATCGATGTATATAAACAGAAATTACGGTGCCTTTTTGAGATATATTATGTTTAATGTAGTTCTAAAATTTTATATATATATATATACACACACACTCGAATATGTGAATAAGATATCAAGAATAATATATATAATATAATAATATAAAAATGTAATATGTTATGATATAACTAAATTGATTTAATTTTTACTAAGCACTTCACTTTTGAGCTGCCATAATTATTCTAAATTAATAATTAATATTACATGTATTCATACAATGCCATTTAGATATGCCACAATTATTAACTTATTGTTAGTTCGATTTATTTGAGATTATATAAAATGCTTTTCTGTAAAACTTATATTGTTTGTAATTTAAATTAACGTGTCAATGCGTCAGTTAACACAAACTTTGTTTAATTGATTTAAAACATCTCACCATCATTGATATGTTTTTTCTTCATTCTGTTTCGTGATTCCATAATCAGTTCAAAATAATTGACTTAATTTGTCGAATGACAATATTAAATATTTGTCTTACAAGACGCAAATAAAATTGCTAAGAAGTGTATTTGTTCTTAGCAAACTTGCACGATACTAATGGAACATAACGTTAGTTCATGAGTATGACAATGTTTTATATAATGGCGTTTAAATATGTTTATTGGACGTTTATACGATAAAAACATTTAGACTTTGTTGATTTTAATTTTGCTTTTTATACTGCGCTGAAGAAGATCCGAAAAATTGGATCGAAACGTTTGCTTCCTAATTTGTTTCAATTTTCGAGTCTATTTTTATAGTTTTAAATTAACTGTATTGTTTGTATCAGTATACATGGATTAGATGTAATAAATTAGTTGTTTAATCTTGATGTTGCATCTGCTCTTATTAGCCTTTTATATTTGTAATACTTTATTTTATATAAGACATTGTTCTATTGACATTATTTTGAAAAATATCAGATTATTTTTAAAACATGATTATTTTATTATTATTATTATTATTATTATTAATAATAATAATTAAGATATTAATTATATAATACACAATACACATATATATATAGAATTTAACAATACATATAAATACAACACACACATATTTATACATATATTGGGTTGACATATAAGTTCCTTCGGTTTTTGGTTTGGTGCAAATTCATTCCGATTCAATCTTTTTTTCCTCGGTGCTATTGTGCAATTCAAATATCGTATTTGAAAAAGGTGTATTTCACATAACTTTTCTGTGAATTTCAGTTTGTTTAACATCAGTATTGTGTGTTGCATAGCTGTGAAAGTGTTAGTAAATAACATGCATTATCGTTATATTTTGTTTGTTACTTCAAAAAAGGCAAAAGAGGTTGGAGATCATAAAAATATATTTTCGTCAGGAGATTTCGACGTTAATGACTCTCTCGTCGTCCGACCGAGATTAATTCAAGATTGACATTGTTGATGAAAAAATGGCAAGACGTTATTGATAAAAATGGTTAATACAAAATTGATAAAATTTATTTTGTGCATTAAAAAAATTGTGTTTTATTTTACTCTAAAAAAACCGAACGAACTTATTTGTCAACCCAATACATATATGTACACATATATAGTAATTTTATTATTAAAACAATACAAGTTTATTCACTGGCGACTTCAATTTTTTAAAGAGTTTATTATTAAACTTATATTATCAGCTTAATTTTAAAAGTTGACGTTATTTTTTTTATATATTTAATATTTAATATATTTTTGGATTTATATTTTTATTTTATATCTCTCTCTTTAAATATATTATATTATATTTTATATTTATATTATACTTTTAATAACGATAATTAAATAACCAATATGACACATTTGTGATTTATAATTTGATATTTTCTTTACACATTATTTATGCAAACTTGCCTTACCATCATTGATATGCTTTTTCTTCATTTTACTGTTTTGTCTATTTAATAGTAATTTAGAACTATCATACAATTAGATTCACTTGTTACGATCTTTTTTCTTCCAAAATATAAGTAACACTGTGTTTTCACCACGCAGTAATCGCAGTAATCGCACGCAGTGCGATGTGGATAAAAATATAATTCGTTCTGTTAGCAAAGATAAAGAAACACTGTATTTATATACTTCCATTCGTTGCAGAAGCTCGAATGGAGTTATGCAATTTTCTCGGACTTGGATTGATAAGTGTCTTTATTGGATATGAAAAGAATTAATAATACGCCTGATTGAGCATATTACTATAGTTACTCATTGTCAGCTATAAGACATTTTTTATTACAACACGTCACAATATTTCTTTATAATTGTATTGGATTTCTCAGAACATTTATATTAATATTAAGTTTTTTTGTATGCAAATAATCATTAAGTAAAAACTGTAATTAAAATCAAACTTGATCTTTCGCCAAACATTTGAAATGCTGTTTCTACTGAATAAATTATATATATATATATATATATATATATATATATATATATATAAAATTTATTCAGTTAATTTCAGTTGAGCAGAAATTTATTTATTAATTGTATAATTATTTTTTATTTAAGTATTTTTAATTAAGCATTAAAAATGTAAAAAGAAAGCTTTAAGTACACGCACAATATAGAATAATGTACAATTTTTTTACATCATTAAAATAATATCTTTCGTAAGATATAAAAATATTTTATATACTACCTAAATTAATTTTACAAAAACAATCATAGAGTTAATAGATTATAAATTATTATATCATCAAATATACATATATACACTTTTGCATATGTATATATTCATACATATGTACATATGTATATGTATATAGTAATACATAATTAATGTTTTACTTGTAATATATTTCCTTTCCTCTCTCATATGTTAACGTGTATGTATATATTTTAATTTAATATTCTATGTAAAAAAAGTCATGAAACGCGTGAAGTGTTTTGTATCACGTATATTGTTGCTCCTTTTCCGCTTCCATAATTGTCGGTTCGTATTTCCGTGAGCGAGAGGTGTGAATGTTAAGCGGGGAGCATATACACTTTTGCATAAGCGCATAAGGAAATGCATAAGAAAAAATTCAATTGGTTGAATTTCTTATGCATACGTTTATACACTAATCAAGATTCTTATGCTTACGTTTATGCGCCTATGCAAAAATGTGTGCTTCCCGTTATAATATTACGTATATTATTATTATTTTTGTGTTACTTATATTTAAAATAAATAGATAAATAATATATATTTGAAGTTCACATATAACTCGTTGTATAAACCGCGCGGCGACAATGGTCAGTATATTTAATAATTAAACGTGGCAGAAGTTAAAGGCGAGCGATAAATTAATCTTTTTATTTATACCGTTGTTGCCTTCAAATGCTTTACATGCTTATCACATGAGTTTGCAAGCCGACATCTGTTTCCCAGTCAGAAATAATATTTAATCAACGTTAATTCGTCGTCGAATCGACGTCAATTCATCGTTGAATCGACGTCGATTTGATTATTTATTTCTGACTGGGTTATTGGCAGCAAAATGTTGTGCAACCAATATATTTTTAAGATATTCAAATGCTAAATTAATCGCTCGTCTTTAAATATTGATACACCTTTAATAAAGTCAGCACCGAATAAATCGCATGGCGACAGATGTCGGTATGTAGCACTGATATATATATGTATATATATATGTACACACACATATATATATATATATATATATATATATAACTGGATATGGCCATACCCCAATAATTTAGCTGCAAAAAGTGTGATCAATAGAAGCGATTAAAATTGTAGGCTGTGTCTATATTTTTATAGTAACAATAAATATTATATGTATATACATATATATTTATATATATATATATATATTATGTAGACAGATCCCACAAGTTTATTAGATATTTGATTAATCAATTAAGCAATGGTTAAAAAAGGCGTGCTAGTTTCCATTCGTAAAAAGGCATGTATAAAGTCAATTCTCGCATGTATTGTTGCCGAATTTCCGCATTGCTGATTGGTTGTCTCGATTCGCATTGTATGTTATATCCATATCAAATTAAATAAAATACATAAAAAAATTAAAATATAAAAAATAAAATACATAAAAAAATTAAAACACAACTGTTTTATTTCTTCAATAGTGATGTAAATTATAAGAAATTTTATCTTTGGATTTTTGCGCAAATTCGGTATTTACAATGTATTCGACAGACCTGATTACAGGTAAATTAAAATTTTTATTGCTTGTGTGTGTGTGCGAACTGTGTATTAACTCAATTTCTCTCCGATACTCCTTTTCTTTCTCTTTATCTTTCTCTTATACGCTAATAATTCATATCCCTCTCGTCTCTTTTGTATTTCTCGAAAAACTTCGCGAATTGATCGCGAACCAGCAGCTTGCTTCAATTCATAGAAATATATTATTGTAGATATTAGAAGACCCACAATGAGCGCTGTAAATCCGGCGCCTAACGGCATTAATCCTAAGACCCTGGCGCTTTTGTCGAGATTATCATATTCTTTCAGCACTTCGCGAAGATTGAAATTAGCTTTTCGATGAAGGACATCATTTAGATGAAAATAAGTAATGCCTGACTCTCTCAACCATGCTATAATCTATAGAAGAATAAAATATTCCAATGTATCATTTATAACAGCAATATTTGAGATATTATTAGAAAGTATATTATGTATTAAAATAATTTCTGTCTCTCTCTTTCTCTGTCTCATTAATTTATTTAAATATTCTCTCTCAATAAATGTTTATATGTAATATATATCTTTTTTCTGTTTATAGAACGAAATGTTTTTAATTGTAAGAATATATTTGAAGTCGATTGATAATCTCGTAAAAATTCTATTGTGTGTATAAATTTAATTTAATTTTAATTTAATTTTAGCAAAAATTGCAAATGTATTTTTATTTGTCAAACATTTATGATACATTATGATATGTGTTTACGAATACGATTTTCATATTACATATTACCTTGTCAACCGGTCGTAATAGCCATGGTTGGACTGCAAAAGCTGAGTAATAGTTGCCTATCATTTGCTTCATCAATCTATAGTTCTTATAAAAATAATTTAATTAATTTTAGCGTGTTGTATTTTAATATTTTCAAATAAATGTACTCTTTTTTTTTACATCTTACTTTAAGATCCTCGTTAGAAATTTGATCTTCAGGAAAGAAGATCGATCCTATAATTTTTCCGATAATTGCATAATTACCCTTCTTGATTAATGTTTGTAACATTTTAGGATCCTTTATAGTTACGTATTTTTTCGGTAATTGACTTGAATAAGGATCCTGATGATATATGTATATATGTATAAATACGTTCATCACGTCAGCAGTAAAAATTAATGCTCATTTGCACAAATATAAATTCTACGTACATTCATATCGAAGTAGTCGTAATAATTTGGTTCTACTTTTCGACTCCATGTTAAATTTGCTTCGAGAAATTGATATACTGTGTCGATTCTAGAAACAGAACATGATTTATATATTTTTCTTAGAATTAAATATAGCTTAATGAATAATAAAAAAAAATCAATGATAAATGATTAAAATAATTTTTTATTTAAATTACGAGGGTAGTTGAGATTTTAACTGTAATTTTTTATCAAACTTATTTTTATATATGTATAATTGATAAAAATGCATTATAAGTAAATTTTAATGTTTGAACTATTTTTAAAATTTAAAAATAAAATATATATTGTTGCTACCTGTTTTCGTATTCTGAACTCGCGAGTCTGGCTGCAAGACTACTACAATAAGCGGTCACTAATACGACCCCTGCAGTTTGCCATAAATGCAGTTCGAACCTAGCATTGGCGGTGTTTCTGGGTACCCACGTGCCTAACAAACGACCTATTAATTCTGTAATCGTGCAGATAATACTCCGAAAACCTAAGAAAATAAATTTTTTATTTAACATTGATATGACAATCTTTTTCGTTTTCTCAAATTCTTATTTCATATATTTTATTTTCAATAGACAATATTATCTAAATAATAAAGTGCGATTACATTTATAAAAACAAGAAAATTTTAAAGAAATAAGATAATAATTATGTACATAAGATATCACTAAAAATAGCATAAATATAGTACTTGATGGCGCTTATATCTATATCGATTATTTTTATAAAGTATTAATACATGAAATGTTAATATTTTATATTTATAATTTAATATTTTATTTAAAAAATAAAATTTAATAATCTCGATTGTTTAACGAAATTTATAGAATATTTAATATATCAAATATCAACTTATAAAAATAAGGCGACTTAAATTATATATTTGTTTACTTTTAATTGTTAGAAGTAACATATAATGATTATGAAGAGTATTTAACTTACGTTTCGGAAATTTTGGATCAATTCTAGCACGTGTACACATATATATGCTCATTGCGATCAACAAGATTATTAGAAGTAGCCAACAATCTATTGGAAAAGGTCTCGTGAGTGCCCAGAAATTGGTGATTGGTCGCGGTCGGGGTACCAAAAAATGCATAAACATCTGATACCATGGTTCTGACATGTTTACAAAATTACTGTGATTAGGCGTTAACCAGATGCTGCCGAATGCTAGATCAATCTTCGTATAAGAGGAAGAAAATACATAAAATTGACTTATTAAATATTTTAATTGAATTTTATATTTAAAAAATAAAACACGTTTAGAATAAATTAAAATTTTAAACGGTATAATCTAAATTTATATCTTATCAAACTATTAATTTAAACTTATAAGCATAAAATGATTTGACAGCATTTTTTTCTTATTATTAATTAATGTATAAAATTGATACTTGTATTATATTTTGGACTGCTTGAATAAATAATTTTACCTTTTTTTCCATTAAAAGTTGAATGACACCACCATTCCAATATGTATCATTTACACGTCGACCGTATCTAAAAATTTATTGATATTTTTAAGATTAATTATTTATTATATATATATATATATATATGTATAAAGAAATTTATGCAAATTAAAATTAATAATTAAAAATCCAAAATTACCTGTAAGTTCCTTGCGGTTTTCTTAGTGTCCAAGTAAAATTCAACTTTTCCGCTATAAGCAGAAATATTTGTATTTCTATCCCATCCATTTCTTTGTCTGTATAATAGAGAATCTATTGTTATTGTTATTGCCACGATCGCTTTTTGTACTTTTGCAATAATTTACAATTTTCATTAATTATTTCATTTTAGCTTTAATTAATTTTATTAATTTTAATAATAATTAAAATCTAAGATTGTAATAATATTAATCAATTTTATTCTCTCTCTCTCTCAATTAATGTGTTTTTAAACATGGTTTACCATTATCTGTTAGGAAAACTTCTTCTTCGATACCATTAATTATTTTCTTGGTCGTTCTATAAAGATAAGAAACGGGTGGCTGATAAAACGTACAAACTTGTAGTTCTCGACCTTTTAAATTAATTATATCGAGTTCGGATGTCAAGTCCTCGTAACTGCAATTTGTATCAATTATGAAAGCTTACAATTAAACATAACATATTTGTATAATATTCAATAAATTTGAAAAAAATAATTTTGTGTAGAGAGATTTATGACATGAATATATTCAATTAGAATGTATAATTAAAAAAAAATAAAATTTAGAATATATGTATAATAAAAAAATTATAGCTACCTGTTCACATTTAGAAAGAATCTGGGCCTCAAGTAATTTTTTGATAAAGTCCAGATTCCGGATTTTGATACGATGTTTGCATTAGAATTTTCATATAAAGAAACATTCAAAAGTCTTGAATTATTTTTCAATTCACCATTAACAATAATGAGAATTTCTGTCGTTGATATATGTGAGGGTATTCTATCAAAGAGTATATATGTTTTTCTATGAATCTTAGAGAATAGAATGAATTCGATTATACAAATAATTCGTTTGCAATAATTTAATTATATTATCTATACTCGTATAAAAAAAACTACAAAAATATGAAAAAATTATTGATATAACAGTAATTCTTCATAATTATTAATATATTATTGAAGAATTATTATTATATTAATAGTTTCTCGTATTGTGGTAGTTTTTTCCGTGGTTTACGGGTATTATTATTCATCACACATTACTAAAAAAATAATTGAAACTTATACTATCGTTTCGCTTTACTTTTGTATATCTTTTTCTATTTCGTCATCCATCGATCCAAGTACAAAGTAGCTTTGGCATTCATACATATTTTGACGCAGTAGATATTCATACGGATAAATATTTATAAATTGACGGAATAGCACTTCATTGTGAATCGATTCTGCAAAATGAAGTTCTCTTACAATATATATTCATGATTTCTTCGAGGTATATAATTTCTGTGTAAGGACCAACCACTTAAAAAGATATTACAGCACGTAGAATAAAAGAATGATCTTTTAATTAGCGTCGTAAAATTGCCCGTTGATATCCAGGATTCCATTTGAGAAGTTTTTATAATATTTTTTTTGCCAGCTAATACTGAGGTAATGATGAGTAAAATACCAAACACTGAATTTATTTTCATGATCACTCATTATCAATTATATTAATAATGTAGTAATAACATTTTTATCAGTAATCTTATTTGTGATAATCTGTAGGTATAATAATAATATAAGGCATTAAAAAAAGAACGAATACATATCTTGAAGTTAAACGTATATATGCAAGTGCGTATGTCAAAATAATTAAACGCGTACTATTGATCATATAATAAGTATAGTCACATAGGATTCTTTTACATATGTATAAGACTTATTATTATATATATAAGGTATATTGATGTTAAGTTATTAATAATTCTAATTTGTTAAATTAATTGATGTCTCTGAATTTACATGAGTTTCTTTCACATCGTCACATTCTCCATAATATCGAAAATTTGTGTTTATCAACTCGTTGCACTTAATTAAAATATAACACGTAGATCTAATAGGAGAATAAGAGGCAATTTGGCAGATTATAATTTTAAACAAAACTGCATACGAATATTAAATGCAAGTTGCATTACACTATACTGATAGACGAGATGCAGTTCACATAGCCTTACGTAGGACTGAAATACCGGGGAAATGCAGTTTTAAGGATAGCAGATAACTATTCTGATAGCAAACTTAAATAAACATGTTACGAACAACATGGTTGACATATAATTATGTGAAACGGGCGGGTCGAGTAAGGCAACGTAAACGCAATTATGTACATCACTTAATTGCCAGCCCATAAAATATTAGTGATGACATACTTTCTAACGCCAATAAGGAAATGTGAATTAATCATTGTTATCTCGAACAATGATGATCTAATATCCTGTTATCGTAGCGCGACCTTGATGGTATCGATCTATGTGAAAATATTTAAAAACATATTCATCATTTATCAACATACAGCGATAAAAATGATACGTAACAAATTCGCGCAGTGCATTTCTCTTTAATTAAACATAACATTTTAAATTTACGATAATACACTTATATGCTATTAAATATTGAATTTTGTTGTTATTATTGATTAAATATTGCATTTACTCATATATAAATTGATTTAAATCTTTGATATTTTAAACAGATAATTTAATCGTCAGATTTAAATATTGAGTAAAGTTTGAACTCTATGGACTCACATCTACGCATATATGTATATATAATATCAGATATTTTAAAGACACGTGTAACCTTGTTTGACATGATACAAACTCATTTACATATCAGATTTTTTACTAATCTTTTTTTCTCTTTTTTAAGAAAATTGTGTTATTCCACACAATTTTTTTGTTAAAAAGAATAATTTTTTATTATATTTAATGTTATTTCATTGTTATAGTCGTGCGAGAAGAGGAAAGAATTATAGGATAATATTAACAGAACCCTCTCATGAGCTATAAAACGATCGCTTAGAACGATAGAAAATGGCATGCAAGGTGACGTTTATTACTTAATGCATATATCTAAAAAAATGGTTCAATGTAATGATGAAAGAGCGATATCTTATATGTTTATACTTGTACATATACATATGTACGTGCAATATTACTAACCATCGCGTGTGATCTTAATCGCTATAATGGTCATAAATTAATGATTGCAAAATTATACGAGTCTATAGTTAGAACTGATCAGAAATTTTTTTATTTAATTTGCAACATATTTTAGAAAAAAATTATTTTTTAAAATATTATCTTACTTTACGGTTATATTTTTATTTTAATATGTACTTTGTAGTTTTTTAAATGTTTTTATATTAAGATTGTGTTTTAATATTTTGCGAGACTCGGTATAATCATACTTTCTTAATAGTTTTCATAAATTTATTTGAATCGCCCGCCGTATTCTCGTCATCAAGCCTTATCAAGTTATATAATGTCGTTTTTGCTAAATCATTGATACCCTATACTGATGTGATGTCGCTGTTAGTTTTATACACGTGTGTCAGTTCTCTTGTATTATGTGATGTACTCTTTTTTCAATTTTGTTTACGTTAAAGTGTCAATCAACTATTTAATTTGCACAAAATATATATAATATAATAATGAATACATGTGTGGCAAAAACAGCTTTTATATACATTTAAATAATACGTAAAATCGACTGACACGAATCTCATGCGAATCAGTATCTTGGCTTTACAACAATCTCTGGCAATAAGTTTTTAAAATGAGTGTTTGTATAACAAGATCATTTACCAGTTTTATGGCGACAACAGGTAAGTCGATTATTTTAGATTGATTTTGCCCAAAAACCAATCTTTTGATCTTCTTTTAATAAAACTTGTGTTAGATAGAAATTTCAGAAAAACATGTTTACCATTATATCCGATTATGTTTACATTAAGCATATGTATATGTATCTCAACAGTGAAATCTATATATATATATTTATATGAACATGAGAAACTTTTAGCGAAAGAAATTTTTATTTTATTTCTTTATGATTTATACAAAAGATATAGAAAAATTGTTTTGAACTATTAGCTTTCTCAGTTATTCTAATGTTAAAGACTTAAATCATTAAACTGATGATTTGAAAATAATTCCTATGTCATATATATGTTAAAATTCTAATATCTATTTAGTAGCAAGACGTTATTCAAAAATTGGATTCGTCGGATTGGGGAACATGGGTGGTCATATGGCAAAAAATCTGTTGAAGAAGGTAAATAATAAAATTATTTATTATAAAATTATACACTGTTGAGGAAGGTAAACAATAAAATTATTTATTATAAAATTATACACTCGAGGAATTAGTATTTTATTAAATGGACAAAAGTTTTTATAAGGAAAAAAAATTTTAATGGAAAGATATTTTATTTTTAACGAATTTTTTTATTTTATTAGAGTTACAAGCTCATCGTATATGACTTGAATAAATCGGCAGTGACAAATTTAGTGGAAGCAGGTGCAAATAGCGCATCGAATGTGGCTGAACTGTCAAAAGAAGTTGAAGTTATCATTTCGATGTTGCCTTCCAATCAACATGTCCTCGACGTCTACACCGGCGAAAACGGTGTACTCAGGTAAAATTAATTTGCATACAGTCAAACAAATTTTTTGAAACAATGACATCAAATTTTTTATAATATGTATTACATATTTTATCTTGCAATTATAGTTTTTTAATTTTTTAGCGCAGCGAAGAAGAATGTTTTACTGATAGATAGCAGTACTGTGGATCCATCGGTGTCTCAATCAGTCGCATCGCAGGCTCAGAAATATGATTTGAGATTTATAGATAGTCCCGTATCGGGAGGTGTGTCTCATAGATTTTTTAATAAAATAAAATATCAGACTAATATATCAAGAAAAGGTTATAATATAACTACAAGTCGCTGGATCAGTTGTTGCAGTAGGGGGATAAAATAAATATTTTATCATAAAAAGTAAATTAAATTTAACATTCATAATATGCATGCTATTTGTGGTAAGGATGATTTATTTGGTTCAAAATTTAAATTGCATTTTGAATATTTTATTAATTTAATAAAAATTTTTTATTTTCAAGAACAATTTTTGATTTTTTCCGAAGAAGGAAATATAAATATTTTATTTTATAAATATAATTATTTTATTAAATATAAATTAACACTTTTTTCTTCGTAAAACTTTACTAATTTGTGCAAAAAATTATACAATAGATTTTATTGTACCAGTAAATCCAAATAATTAATAAACATAAGTAAAATTAGAACAAGTCCGAAATGCACAGAAACATGAAAAATTAAATATTAAACTGTATTAATATCGTACAGGTGTAAATGCGGCTAAGGATGGCACTTTAACATTTATGGTTGGCGGTTCAAGAACAGATTTCGATCACGCACAATCTATACTCGAAGTTATGGGATCCAGAGTTGTTCATTGTGGTGATGTAGGCATGGGTCAAGCTGCTAAGTTATGTAATAATATGCTATTAGCCATTAGTATGATTGGCACAGCAGAAGCATTTAACCTTGGACAAAAGTGAGAAAGAAGCAGGATATAGTTTCTTGTTTACTTTTAATTTTTTAATTCAGGTTCTATATGTTTTAGGCTGGGCTTAGATGCAAAAGTGTTAGCGAATATCGTAAATTCTAGCTCGGGGAGATGCTGGTCTTCTGATCTTTACAATCCTGTTCCAGGAATCTTACCTAATGTCCCCAGTTCGAAAAATTACGAGGTAATCAATCATGAAAATTTTTTTGTGATTTATTTTTTCAGTTGGACTTCCAGACATGGAATTAAGGATAAATATGAATAATACCTTGAAATGTTTTATTAATAGTTTAAAAAATGTATTTGTTTTTAAAAATAATTTTATCACAACAAATAATTACTTAATTTTTTTAAATGTAAAATATAAATTATCGACAATTAATTTCATTGATACATCAAACAAAAACTAGATAAGTATAAAGTATAATAATATGTTAATATACATATATAGGGTGGTTTTGGCACAACACTGATGACTAAAGATTTGGGATTAGCTCAATCTGCTGCAACCAGGACGCAAACTCCTATTCCTCTTGGTTCGTTGGCACATCAAATTTATAGGACAATTATTGCTCATGGATTCTCGAATAAGGATTTTAGCGTAGTTTATCAATTCCTTAAAGGTAAAAATTGAAAAGATTTGAAATTATTATATAATTATACTTACTGTATAAATCAAACATTGCCCATAAAGAAATTAATGAAATTTATAAATGAAACTTTTATATTTAATTATAAATTCAAATATTTAAATTTTATATTTTTTATTATATAATTTTGTATTTTATATTTAACAAGTATACATAGATATGTTTTAATTTTAATTTTCTTAATTATTTTTTAAACTGTAATAACTATGTTCTATATTATTTTTCATTCTCTCTACAATCTATAGAGAGCGCCAGTTGATAGATATCGGCTAAATGATTTCTACAAAACGTTGATAAAACATCTGCGCGTTAATATCATCAAGTTATGTGATAGAATATATTTTTAAAAAATATTTAAATTTGAATATCTGAATTTATTCTTTGCGAATTGTCGAAATTTATATATAATAACTTGAAAAATAAAATTAACTATTATATATTTTATTACTTTTTTAAAATCAGGCCGATATATTAGTATACTATATTATCAATGTCTCGACAAATTCATACAATAATAAGTAACAAATAATAGTGATAATTTTATTCATTATTAAAAATATATCATAGAAAATCTCCTTACATTATTCTTTTATTTTATTGTTTTATTATTTCATAATAAAATAAGAATAAAACGAATTTACGTAAAATAGAGATATTTTGTCTAGTTACATTGAGTAACGTAGTATTTATTTCTATTCAACTTTATTAAATCTGGCACACAATCTCTCTTCTACAGTAAATATTTTTAGGACAAATTACACGGTAATTAATCTATTACAAATCCGATTTAACTATATCAATAAAAAAAGATCGTATATGCATTTTCAAAACTACATTTAATAATATTAATGATGAACAAGCATCAACTTTTCAAGAAAAGAAGGTAAAATATAATTATTATTAAATATGTTGATATAAAATATGTATATACCTTTTTTTCGTAACATTTTCTATAATTTATTTATTTATAAACGCAAATAATTTAACTGTAAGATCAGTTTAAATAACGTTGTTATTAATTCCTTGATCGATTAATATAACAATATTACTCTATTTTATATTTATTTTCTATTTATTTGCATTTATATTTATTTTCTATTTTATGTAATTCAATATAAACTTAAATATGTGGTTTTGATCGTCTTTTTCAAAAATGTTTTGTGTTAATAACACATACGATTTTTATATCTTTGATAAAATAATATAATCAAAGTTGTGATCAGTGTGTAATATCTTTTCGCACGGAGAAAGAAATGAGCACAAAACGTGAGAAATATTAGAAAAATGTGTTTGCCGCAACACAAAATTGTTGTCACGGGGCGCCAGGAGTGCTCGCGTCGGGCCTGAGTCCCGCGCATGCGCGCTCGATACCACGTGACGCAGCACTCGCCGTCCGCGACGAGTCGTCGTCTTGACTAGTGCAGTGCGGTCCACCATCGCTGTCAGTTGACGGTTTTTTTTCGCGTGGCTAGGCGAGAGGGCAGTGCGGTTTGGATGCGGCTGGCGACCGTGCGAGCTGGAGAGTTTTTCCGCTGACGTTTCCGTGGATCTGGTGCCAAAGGGATAAAAGAAGAGAGAGGGAGAACCTCGGGGCGTTTTTTTTTCCCGCCGGATTTTCGGGGGCACAAGTGGGCGCCGACGATTTCGCGCAAGCGGTTTCGTATCCAGCAGTCCGGGTTCGTTCGAATGTGTCGCTAGTGTATATATACATATATCACGCACGTGCAAATACCGACTCCTCCCCGCCGTACGTACGTTTACGTACGACATACGTGTGCGCGTGTGCTTACTATCGCTCGCGGTGTCTCGGCATCGAGGAATTAGGATATAGACGAAGAGAGAAAAGCAGACGGAAGTGCAGCGAGAGAACGGAGCGAAGACGACGTAGTCCGAGGAAGAGGAGAGAAAGATGAGCAAGACGTGCGCTCGCTGCGAGAAGACGGTCTATCCGATCGAGGAGCTCAAGTGCCTCGACAAGGTACGTAAGCTGCGATCATGGCATCTTTGTTCGTCGCGAGATCAGGAGGAATTCGAGTCTTCGAGAGACTACTTTTCTCGAGAAGCGAGAGAGAAGGAAAGGAGAAAGAGAGAAACGCGACATAAAAAAAATAGAGAGAGAGAGAGGGCGAACGCAACACAAAGAGAAATAGATACATACACAAACACACATACAGGTACACACGTACAAAGAGAAATAGATGGAAAGAGAGAGAGAGAGAAAGAGAGAGCTAACCATCGCGGGAGAGATGTACCGTTCCATTGAGAAGGGCTCGGCGACCTTCGCGGCGTGTTGGTCTCTCTTCGTCGTGCGTGCGTGCGTGATGCACGCGTGTTTAACGCTGCGGAACGCTCCATGCTCGCCGAAGGGAGCCGTCTACTTGTTGCGCCGCGACATGACGCGACTCGAGCGAACGACTGGGCTGATATAATAAAAAATTGTTTTATTTAATGTCGCTTCGTATCTCACGAAATCTCAAACGAATAAAAAAGGAGTCGTGTATTTTTAGTTCCGTGGCATGAGCGAGATAAAGTTTGTTTTTCCACTATGTGTGTTACAAGGTTGCGAATATTTATATTATAAATTAGAATGAATTCGCGAAATGAGTATGCTAATTGATACAGTTTGTATTTTACTAAAAGCTGTCAGATTTTAGTGCATCTCTAAATTCAATATTATTTACGATCGATGATCGAATCGAATGAATAGGAATATTAGAGATGAGAATATCAATCATTTGTACTCTAATTTCTCTTATGAAAAATAAAATAATTGGTAGGTAGTCATCTTTTGCGTATCTTGCGCGAAAAAAAATAATTGCATATATATTAATGATAATAATGAAATCGAATAAATAGAAATATTTGAGATGAGAATATCAATCATGTTTTGTACTCTAATTTCTCTTATGAAAAATAAAATAATTGTTAGGTAGTCATCTTTTGCGTATATTACGTGAAACAAATTTAATTGCATATTAATGATAATAATCAAATCGAAATAAATAGAAATATTAGAGATGAGAATATCAATCATGTTTTGTACTCTAATTTCTCTTATGAAAAATAAAATAATTGTTAGGTAGTCATCTTTTGCGTATATTACGTGAAACAAATTTAATTGCATATTAATGATAATAATCAAATCGAATAAATAGAAATATTAGAGATGAGAATATCAATCATGTTTAGTACTTTAATTTTTTTTATAAAAAATAAAATAATTGTTAGGTAGTCATCTTTTGCACACATTACGCGAAAAAAATTAATTGCATTGATAACTATGTATAATGTTTCGTAAAGAATTATATTTTTGTCCGAATGAATAACAGCGAGTAGCTGTTTCTAGGCAATAAATAAAAAAAACTTACAATCAGATATAAAGGTAAAACAATTATGCAGGAGGAACATCTCGTTCGATTAGATGTATTTCGGCTTTCTTACCTTGATAACTTGTTCTGTGACGTTCACTTAATTTTTATAGAGAATGTCTCAAATAAATATAATAATATTATCTAAAAGAATTTGGCATTTGCATTTTAATTAGCATTAAATTAAATTTAAAATATTTTAAATTTTATTAAACGTATGTATATAATATCTAAAAATAGAATTATCTCTCTCTCTCTTTTCTTTGATTATTTATGAACTAATAAATGCCTAAAAAAAGTACCAACTTGCATTCTTGTTAAATAATTTCTTTTAACGATAACATGGCAATCCATCGTTTATAGGAATTCTTTTCCGATCATTATAGTTAAATGTAATATTGTGCTCGTAGCACATAGAAAACGGATACGAGCATTTTTCAAGAGACGAAGGATAAACGAAGTGGGAGAATATGCAGAATGTACCGTTCGCATACCGATTGCAATGATTTGACTCAACGTTATAACTCTATAATTTCTAGAAATTTAGATTTTGAAAAACTTAATATCATTAAGTGATTATACGATATAAAATTGTATCCTTTATTATATTTCATCAATAATATTTATATAAATAGTAAATTAGATTTAAATCAATAGTAAATTATACGCATTAAGTAAATTAGACAAGAGATGACAATTTTGGAAGGAATAGTAATAAGAAACAATGTAAAAAGATCTAAAACTAGAGAAATATCTATAATCTTTTTTAATTTAATTTTTTTTATTTATACACTTTTTCTTCTAAAATATTTCTAATATTTGTTGAGTTTACAGGATGTGCATTCTGCAATCGTAAATAATGAAATTTCGTGAATAGCGCAAAATTAAAAAAAATTATATTCTATATATCAGTACTATATTTTTTATACATTTTTAAAACAAGTTATATGTGTCTCTGAAGAATATGTTTCTCTCAAACAATTTTTGGACCAAAAAATGAAATATTTATTCTCGTTTAAATTCATTTGCTATACATAGATTCTTTTAAATTTATTTAAGGTATAATTTTCGTTGAATTTTGTCTCGCTTTAATCGCCATTCAAGCGAAATGTGACAAACACATTTTTTACTTTATTCACCATATGTGCCAACTTCCGCTTTAGTGAATAAACCTTGAAATCCCAGATTTATGACTCGCATTTTGCTTAAAACTATGAACATGAACGAGTTCTGTTCAAATCCTTGCTGGCTGTGTCATGTGTTTTTATCGTGAAAGACCGTGGCGTGCAACTCCCGTTTACTTCCATTTGCTGTGCTATAATTTATCCGACTCATTCCTATGAACGACTGAATCCGGAATCTCCTACTCTGTTGAAATCGGAAATTAAGTCAACCGATTATAAATTTTTTATTCCAATCTTACGGTATTGATATTTTATTTTGAAATTATATCGTTTTAATATAATTTATAAATATACATTTATTTAGGTAAAGTATAAAATATTTAACTTTGTAAAAAAACGTTACAAAATTACAATATTATTGCAGCAATCTTTTTTTATTTTTACCAATACTATTATTTAAATAAAAACTGTTTAAGAACTTAATATTAATATTTTAATTAGTGTTTAGATTTAAAAAATTAATCGATTATATTGCTACTATCACGTGAGAATTAGTCTATTGTATATGTAAAATAAGTAGGAGTTTATCGCAAAGAATTACATTTAATGAAAAATAGTTTCATTAAAAGGTCCTTCATATAAAATTAATCATTCCGAAAAAGGCACAGTTATTAATTCGTTATTACATAGTTTATTAATTAATTTTTTCTGGTGGTTGTTGCCAAGATGTTGAAAAGGTTGACGCATTATAGCGGATCAAAACTTTTTCTGCGATAGATTACAGGATGTACCGTTCTCGTTTAGTTCCGCTCACCGAGCCGTCCTCAGTTCCATTCGCCGTGATATTCTTCGTCTCGTTTATCCTTACGTTGAATGACCGATATGAGCAAGCAGTCTTGCCGTATGTAAAAAGAAAAAAGAATGTTGGGAGACAGACTTTTCTCGCATATCTTTGCATTTACTAAAGAGTTTTAATCATCAATAATAGTAAATTATTTTTTCAATTGTTTTTATCCGAAAAAAATATTTTTACATATATTTTATGTAAGACACTGATCGATTTTCAAGAGATTATTTTCAAATAATTCCTTTAATTCTGAACATATTCACACATAATCTAAAGTTTTATACATAATATTTTGCAATAAGCATTATTACAATATGTTTTAAATAATTTTTTTTGTTTTAAAAAGGCGTATGCAGAGATATGAAGATGAATATTTTGAACATTCAATAAGATATCTTTATGTAAAATGTAAAAATAAACGTGTAGACGATGTTTTAAGCGCATCTCATTTATGCAGCTTTATACTAGAGGGTTAATAAAACTCAATGTAAGCGAGTTAACGGGGCTTTTAAATCATGTGGGCGGCATTCCGCGTCGGAAAACTAGCTTCGGATATTCGAGAGGAGATAGAGGAAGTCAGGATTCTAAATTTGGATGCGTATCGAGCCACATGATTATCACATTAGTTTTCTAAATTCTCTCGTATGCTGTTTTGTATGCATTAATCACGTTCATTTTTTACACACATGGAATAAGAGGAAATTTGTATTGCAACGTAAATGTAATTAATAAAGTTTTCATATGAGAAATATATTGATAAATCTTAATTTTAATTAATATTTTAATGATGTTGCCTTTAGATTTTCTATTTTGTTGTTAAAAAATTTAATTACCTAAATTTAAATTAAAAATTAACTTGATTAAATTAAATTAAATTTAATTTCATTAAATTTCCTTGATTTTAAATGAATCGTTTGAATATTTTTTTTAATATATAATTTTTAGTAACTTCGCCTGTAATGCTAATTTCACGTAATATAAAATATTAAACTAGTTTACACATATATTATTCAAAACAACATATAATGAAAACGTGATGCTTATTTCTTTTTTCTATCTATCATTGTAATATTACTTATAAAACGATTTACGTATTTTACGTGTAAGTCGTTGTTTACGCTAGATTTTACGCCTGTTCTTACTGCAAACTCTCTTATAAAATTGCGGTTGTAAGTCTCTCCTGTTTTCTCGAAGAAACAGAAGAATAAAAAGAGATAAATGGAAGAGCGGTACGATACGACGAGAAATTGAGACAAGACGCGCATTACGCGGTTAACAGGCACAATACGAATTAAAGTACACAAGAGATTAAGGCGAAAGGGTTTAATGAAGGAAAATGTTCATACTTCTATAACTAGCCTCTTTCTCGTCGAATGTTCTTTCGAATAGCAAGTATTTTTTTATCTCTTTTCTTTCTCTCTTGCAATTTTTTTTAATTATTATAAATAGTGCTGAAAGATATCGAAATTTAGAAGAAAATATAAGTCAGGAAAATGTGATGTTAGACAAAAAATGAGTAAAATATTGAGGAACGTGTAAAATTAGTTTCTAAAATTATTTTAATTTTTTTATCTCATGTTATGTAATCCACATGGGTTACATAAAACAAATTATATTGACAAAATTATAATTTCAAGGA